ACACTTGTTGTTGAGGCTGCTCTGTGCTGCACTGTTCAGCTGTTTATTTATAAAGACCTTCATTACAAAGCCTCTCTCAGGGGATATCAGACTGACGGTGAGAAAGTGTTCACACACCTTCAGGCGGGACATCGCCTCACTTCTGTCCCAGTTAAACTCCAGTCTGTGAGTTCTCTGCCCCAGTTTCTGGGTCTCAGCCCCCAGTACCCACAGTCAGCTGTGAGGAGCCTGTTACCCATTTAAACAATGAGAAGTACGTCAAAGCTGCTCTCAGGCAGATGCACTTTGATTTCAGTATTTTTATCCATTCACACTCAAGCGCCCCAGCTACTGTTGACAGAGTAAAGGAAAGAGAAAAGAGGGTTCAAGATATAGTTTCAAATGAGTTTATGAAGTGCAGCAGAACCTGCAGATCTCTGAGGCTGTACTCTGACACAGGGGTGCTATGAGCTAAATGCAAACAGTGGACAGTACTGAAAAAATAATGACAGAGCTGCGTCAAAAGTTTTGATCTCCAAGGCTCTCATGACTCCATGTTTGTGAACTACTCAAACATCATAACTCAGCCTCAGTGATGGGGAGCATCACTGAGATGTTTGAACCGAGCCTGCAGAGCCTCAGGTGAAGTCAGATTGGGAGCTTGGAAACAATCAGAGGATGTTAGGAGATGTGAGCTTGCAGACCTCTGCTGACTTCTTGTTTTTTTCTCTTCATCTCGGCTCATTTTTGTCATGATATGTTCTGTTAATTTAGTTTTTACCTGGTTTTGATATTTGAGTGTATTTTCTGTAGGTTTTTCCTGTTGTTTCTGTTCTCTCTTGTTCCTGTTCCCTTGTAGTCCTGTCGTGTGAGTTTTCAGTTTGTGTTTGACCCTGTTTCCCTCCTGTTCTCAGTGTTTTATTCTTTAGTTCAGTTTTCAGTGTTTACTGGTTTTTTTTGTAGTAGTTGATTCCTTGTGTTTCTAGTCTGGTTTTACTTACCTAGGCTGTGTCTCATTTCAGAGACCACATCAGGCTGAGCGCACTCAAGCTCGCTTAGCTGAGCGCACTGCCGTTATGTGGACTTGAGTACCCTGAATGAGATGGTCCGGTTTTTGTGAAATGGGACAGACCACCCTTCAGAGGACTTCCTGGTTGAGTCACCAAATGTCCCCGCCCTCAGGCTGACCTGAAGAAAAGTTGCGGAGTGCAGCATTTATTTTTTAATTGTGCTACCTTGCACAGACACAAAACAATAGATACATTTAAGCACAGATCATTCCCACAAAATTCATCCAATGATTGCATGTTTTGTATAAAGGACTATGAGGGCCATATTGAGAATTTTTTTTTTCAAAGACTTCAAGATTTAAGTCGTGAATTTATGAGAATAAAGTCGTAAGGTTACCTGTTATTTCAAAGGAGAGTTGTTAAAATTAGGGCCATGAGGCATATAAAGGAACTGTGCTTCAGTAAAGGTTTCACAAACAAGGAGATACTTCATCCTTTGGCACATCAGTGTCACATTGTCATAAGTATAAAGACTTAAAAAAGAACATATGAGAAATACATCTTTTCCACGGGGGTAAAAAACAGGTGGACTTGGAGGAAATCTCTGCTTTTATGGAGGCAGATATGGATATGCTGAGGATATATCTGTCAATGCAGCCGTAAATATCAGTCAATGACATTGAGCTTTAGTTTATGATATGAATCCATATGCCATAATAAGGCGTTAGTGTCTCTGCTGGGGCCTATTCTACGAAGCAAGTTCGACCTAGTGAGGTAGCCTTGGAGCTACCTCGCTCAACTTAGCGCAGTAGCCAGCGGTCTCGCTAAAGAATCTTGCGACGCTGGTTATCAACCTCGTAGGTGGATCCAGCTTTGCTATGAGCGTGTGCATGCATGTAAGGTGGAGCCCGCCGCATCTGACCAATCGCGAACATAGATCAGTCTGGAGCATCAGAGCAGGCCGTAGAGCGAAGGACCGTGTACTTTACAAACCAGGAGCAGGAGACGATCATGAGAAAGTATGAAGAATTCAAATCTATCATAAACCTCAAAAGCAACACCGTCGCCACTGCAAAAGCATGGAGGGAATGCTGGCAGAAAATTGCAGACAGTCTCAATGCGTAAGTATAGTGCGCAAAAAATCTTTGATGCCATTCTCACCCTGAAATAGCACTGTTCAACATGCGCTGTTCAACATGCACCAGACATGTCTAATTCCTTTCCAAGATGAATTTATTCATTTGTTCATTCCTATCGTGTTTACATTTTTTGTGTGATATGTAGGCCATATGAGCCTTTCATAAAGGTGGTCATCCAGAAAAGTAAGTGGGTCTGTGCAGTCCCTGAAAACTCTTGCACGCTGGAGTGCTCCTCGGACACCGTGAGCACCGAGGTCTATAGGATCCTCCAAGAACGGACAAGCCATTTTTCGAGAGAGCTCATTGGTCAGTGGGCGGGGTTTTTATACTCAGTGAGTTCAATCTGGAACCTAACCTGCCCCGGAGCAGGTTAGCCGTTCAGCGTATGTTGCCATGGAGACTCACCTCGCTAAGAAGTGAACCCGCGTCGTAGAACAGGAAACCCTGAACTTACCCTCGAAGTTACCTCGCTAAGCAGTAATCCTGCTTCGTAGAACAGGCCCCAGGTGTAGGTTACCACCGGTGTCAGAGATGTGGTGCTCGTCGGAGCTCGACTCCCTCTGGATCTCAAATGTTGATCAACAGTTGGATTGTTTCTTCAGAAACCACAAAAACTCTCTGAATGACCCGCAGATACATCCACAAATAACCCTGCAGTTGACCAGCTTCACCCATTTCTCCCTCCACCAAAGCAGCTTTATGACTTTATTTTGTGACTTTTTTCTCCTAAGTTTACAACTTTAATCTCTAAGTCTTAAATAAAATAAAAAAAATAAAGAAATTAAAAAACTCAGTTTTGTCAGCTTTCTTAATTCTAATGTTTTTGATTGTGGTAGCAGATCGGATCAGTTCTTTTCTAAAGAATATAATGTTTGGTTTGCGGATTTTAGTGAGTTAAGAGATCATGCGCTCATGCAGCCTGAGCTGACTGTCTTGTGTTTTTGGATTTCTTTTATTTTCTTTGAAGACGCGCTGTGTCTCCTAGCAAGTCCTGCCTCTCACCCGAAATGCACAGCTGTGCAGCAGCACGCAAAGAATTCTGGGATACCAAGGCCACAAATGCGTGCATAAATGCACGTTTGAGAAAAGGGTGGGGGTAGTGTGGTTTTGAGACCGAATTTGAAGCGCGCTCAGTATTTCAAGCTAAATGGGACACCGTTCGTGCCAGGTGATGACATCACGCACACTTGAAATGCGCCATTTGACGGTGCAGTCTCTGAAATGAGACACAGCCCTAGATTTCCCTCCTTCGTTAATCACCCATGAGTTTCACCTGTGTCTCGTCTGCCTCACCTGTTGCTCGTTTCCCAGGGTATATGTAGTCCTTGTCTTCCCCTGTGTCTGTGTTGGTTAATTGTGTATGTACACATGTAGGTTGATATCAGTGTATGTTTGGATTTCTGGTTAGTCTCCTTGTGGTTTTTCCTAGTGCCTTTTTTGTTTGTCTGGGATTTTGCTCCTTGTGTTTTTCCTTTGGATTTTTCAGTTGAATATTTTGAGAGTAAGTTTTAGTTGGAGTTTTTCCTGTTTTGCTTTTGCTTGAAAAATCTTTCTTTCTTTGTTTAAGCCTGCCTTATTACAATTTTGGCCTCTGACTGAGGGTTACATTAACCTTGACAACTGAAGAACACCTGAATCTGTCTGCAGCAGAGATGTATGTTTTTAATGATTGGAGATATCTCAGTTTGGCTGCGTTTATCGGGAGAAGTTCTCAGATCTTATGAGAAATTAAAGCAGGAGCACTGTAGAGAGTCAGGGTTAGCTTGTCTGTGTAAATTAGATTGTAAGTTTTCAAGAAACCTCAGGTATCTTATAATGAAGCTCAGAGACTCTTCCTCAAACTACTAAGATAGAGGAGTGCAAGCTTTATGTAATTTTTTCTTGTATCGTCCCTACATTCAATTTTGTACTGAGAAATTAAATTCATAAATTTATGTGTTGATTATCCGATTCAGAAAATGAAATTGTAAAGGAGCTCACATATCCCACTGTGAGCATGTCAACTGAAGCTGTTTTATCTTTTTGTTAGTTTTTTTTTACCATCCCTGTGCCGTATTTACATACTCTAGATTTTTTTATTTTCCACGGCAGAGATGAATGGTTCATTGTAGTGTCAAAATAGAGCAGGTGAGGTTTTTTTCTTTATTTTCTTTAGTGCAGGAGAAGAAAAGGCAGAGATTAAAGTTAGAACTTTGTCTATGAAAAGTGCAAAATCATTACAAACTGAAATCTCACAGGTGCCTCAACCTCGCTTGTAATATTTCACAGTGATTTATATTCAATATTTTGATTTGTAAAGCAACAAGAAGTTTAACTGACCAATGTCTACAACAGACATTTCTGCTCTCATCATTTGAGGCCTTTGCAGCCTCATGTACTTTTAACACTTGAGGAGTGATGCCATTTAAAGGGATATTCCGGCGTAAATTTAAGTTGTGGTCAAACACACTGTAACACCGAGTTAGACACCCCCTCAAGAGATGAATGTTGCAGACTGCATACTTCTGCCATAGTACTAGCCATCAAACATCTTTTAAGCTTTGCCTGGTTTCTTTAGCAAAGAGACCAAACACAACTCACCCACTCTCTTCCAGCAGCCCCTTGTTTGTGGGGGAAGCCCTGATGAGTTGATCACCAAGTGCAGTTGGATCATTTCCATGAAGTAACAATCATCATAATTATCATGTTGCATCATGATCGACTCCTTAGGGCTCCCTCTACTAACAAACGGCTGCTGGAGGAGAGCTTTAAGGCTCAAGGGAGGAAATTGAGATTCAGCCTCTTTCACCTACAGGAAACTTTTTTTCTCTGCTTAGTCCACAGTAGAAGAAAAAAGTGTAAAGACTATGAAATAACTAAAAACCACATAAAATAATCTACAAATGAAATCATCTTTATTGACTTAAACAAACACAGCCAGTCTCACATTCATGGTTTTCAAACTCACAAACAGCAGTCACAGGTAACCTTTCAGGTAACATCATGATTCACTCCATCAGCCACTTCTTCTAAAAATCAGGGTCGATGAAATTAGAAGCCAAAAGTGTATTAATGGTAAAGGATAAAAACTGAAAAAGGCATCTTCTCCTGAAAGCTTTTTCTATCTGCAGGAGTAAAAATACAGCTCTTCAATCTGCAATCCAGAGAGGAGTTTGTTAATGATCTACAGCTAAACGCTGACATCTCTCCTTAAAGACTGATTTTAATCACTGCAGTCACTTCTCTCTTTTTTTTTTTAAACTTTACAAACTTTTGTTCTCCTCTGAGTTTTTATTTTTCACTGCATAAATCTTTGAGTAGTTGTAAAAAGCTGTCAGAGAGGTCTGTCTCTGTTTGTGTTTCTGAGTGCTGGAGCAACATTGTGATCAGTTTGACTAGATGACAAATATTTTTCATCTCTAAGTCAATGCTGTTTGAGCAGTTTTCAATAAATCCAATTATAATACAAATCCCACAAAACTGTAAGTGTCTTTGGAAAAGGAATGACATGCCTCTTGAATAAAAACACATAATCCACTCTGCTCAGATCAACATCATTTTAGATGAGCAGAAAATCTTCGCTGACAAACCAACATCTTGTTCATGCTAACAGCCTACCCTGAAAGAGAATGAGGAAAAACATACTGATGTTTTTTTTTTTTTCTTTCTGTTTCTGATGATGTATTTATTTCTGAGCTGTATAAATCTATAGGAATGGACTCTTAAACTGCTTTGGCTTACACAGACTCATCCTACTCTACTTTTGTTTGATCATCTGTTTTGAGTGTTGGTGCACAGCTTCAACAAATGCGCCCACATTCTCCGGGTCCATGTCCGGGTAAAGACCGTGGCCCAGGTTGGCGATGTAGCCTCTTACACCAAAACCCTCCAACATCTTCTTCACAATGTTGGAGATCTTTTCCTGAAAGAGGAAGACAGATGAAAAGTGGATTAAAGGGGACTTATGGTATTTTTGAAGCATATATACACACTACAGGCCATAAGTTTGGAAGCAAGATCAGATTCGTTCAAAAAAAGATCATAGTTTCATATATATAATTTGCAACAAAAAAAACATGACTATTGTGTGAAGAGTAACTTATCAGAAGACACTTTGACTAGAATTATTAGGTATTTGAGTTATTGTTGCTTAGACTTTGCTTTCTTTAAAGTAACCTCCTCTGGCTTTAACAACAGCTTGGCATATACCAGGCATTCGTTCCACAAGTTTTTTAAGGTATGTTGCAGGGATTGCATTCCAAGCTTTCTTAAGTTCATTAAAAAAGAGACTGCTGATTTGTGGGACGCGCTTTTCTGACCGATCGATCCAATTCATACCGCACAAGCTCTATTGGAGAAAGGTCTGGAGACTGAGGGGGCCAAACCATCTTTTGAAGAACACCTTCCTCTTCTTTTTTGTCTAGGTAACCCTGACAGTGTTTGGCAGAATGCTTAGGATCATTGTCTTGCTGCAAAACAAACTTATGACCCACAAATCTGAGTCCAGATGGAACAGCATGGTGCTGGAGGATGGAGTAGTACTGTTCCTTCTTCGTGATACCCTTTACATCAAACAAATCTGCTACTCCATCACCTGCAAAACATCCCCATACCATGGAACTACCACCTCCTTGCTTAATGGTGCTTAATGGTGCTTTCTGAAGTTCACCAGTTTGTCTGCGGACATAAACAATGCTATGTTTATCCTCTGCTTTTGTAGTAACTCTCTTTCATCTAGGCCTTTTTCTATTATCATAACTTTCAGGTTCCTCTAGTCTCCTCAGAGTGTAGTGGACTCCTTTGTTAGACACCATAAGGCATTTTGCAATTTCTCTTTCTGTGTATCCTTCTTTCCTCAATGTATGAATCTGTACTTTTGTTTCTTTACTCAATTGCTTTTTCTAGCCATTTCTGCGGTAGTTTGAACACAGTTGAGATTTATTAGGATTTTTGTATGCAGACTCTCAAAAGCCAAAAGTCAAAGTGAATAATCCAACTGTGATTTGTTTTTTGTTTTTGCACTGAAGTTGTGACTCTTGCAAATGTTTTCAACCCTGAAACTAAGCCCTTGTTTTATTTTGCTGACATATATTTAGCAATGGTCTGTTAACATCAATGTATATCTAAGGGCAAATGGAGTAAAATGCTGCATTTCCATGAAAGCAACATCTGTTCATGAAGTAAATACATCCCAAAATACATAAAACTCATGCTGGATTTTAAAAAAAGCATTGTGAACAAAAACTTGAAGTTACTCCAAACTGTTTGGCCTGTAACAGCCTTGCTTTCAAACTTTTGGCCTGTAGTATATATATACATACATATATTTCTACATGTTTTTGAGTCTAAATGATGAAAAGGTTGTCAAAGTTTTAACACATGCTCCAGTAGACACTTTTGGCCCTCAAATGTGCCAGAATAAACACACATTTATCAAAATACAGCCCAAAAAATTGTTTACTTTTACCACAGACACAAACTGCAGACAGCTGACTGCTCATGTACTCGAAAATGACCACTTTACAAAAACTTAATTCTCGTAACATGAGGACTTTTAAAAACTCGATTCTAATGACAATATCACTTTAATCTCGTAACATTTTGACTTGATTCTTTTTCTTTGTAATATTATGACCTAACTACGCCTTTATTCTTATAAGAAATGATTCTTCTTCAACTTCATTTCTTCTAAGAAAATGACTGTAAAAGAGACGTAGCTTTACGCGAAGGGGAAAGGACATCTCTTGTCTTTTTTCCCCTGTGCTCCCTCTTTTTTTTCTTGCATCTTCTCATGCATCCCTGGTGGGAAGGGTTAAGACCATAGACTGTATATACTATGGACAACTTGGTTCCGCCTACCGCCTGTATACGGATTTGAAGCCAAATAGCTCTCAGTATTTCCTGGATTTTTCTTCATTTCCTGAAACCAGCGCTGCGCAGTAGCGATGTGCGCATTCTGCCACGCAGTCGTCGAGAGTCGGTGTAATGACGCTCGGCTCAAACGGCGTATCCCCCCAGGTGAGGTACGCAATCCCTGAGCACCCATAGGCTGTATCAGGTGTCAATCATAGAAAATAACTTATAACCCTAATAACTTTTAAAAACGGAGCTGCACAGAAAAAAGAGGACTTGAGCACAAAACAGTCTTACTGTAACTACATGTCAACATCACAAGCAGGGGGGAGAAAAATTTATGTTCTGTGTAATAAATTTCTAAAGTTGGTCCACAGCCCCATAAGCTTTGCTGGAGGAGGCGGGATTTATGACCTATACTGCAGCCCATCAACAGAGGGTGCTTTTCTCGAAGTGGCTTCACCCAGCGAGGAGGCAGATGCTGTCCATTCTATATACAGTCTATGGTTAAGACTCAAGAAAAAAATGTAGGCGATGTACTCTAAAAGTTCCTTAAAGCAGCTTTAATTTAGAGATAAAGCCTGTGGTGAAATGCAGCTCCCTGCACTCTGTAAAGATTTCTTGTTGTGGCATTAAAGAAAACTGTTTTCTTCTCCCTAAAACATCTATTGTTGTAACATTTCTCCTATTTGTGGGCTTTTATTCCTGGTCTGAGCCTGTCGCGGTTAAAAACAAGCACTTAGAGTGGACACACTTTGGACATTTGCCATGAAAGATTACACTGCAGCCTTCAAAGCCTGTTACTTCTGGCAACAGCAGCAATCTACTTAAGCATCTCCACACCTATTAGAGTCTAAGAGCGTAAAATAAGTGAAAATATGGCCCATGTTTAACCAAGTACAAGACTTTCCTCTTAACCTTAAAGGGATATTCCGGTGTAAAATTAATTTAGGGTCAAACACACTGTAACACTGAGTTAGGCACACCCTTGAGAGATGAATGTTGCTGAACGCTTGCTTCACTAGTTATACCAACTTCAACACCGCACAATAGCAATACACAGCAGTCTACGTCCTCCAAGTGCAAAACTCAACCAAAAAGCCACTCTATAGCCACAAATAATGCTCAGAACAGCACCTAACTTCATCAACAGTACATATAGGGTCCCAGCCATAGTACTAGCCATCAAACATCTTTTTAACTTTGCCTGGTTTCTTTAGCAAAGAGACTAAACACAACTCACCCACTCTCCTCCAGCAACAGCTTGTTTGTGGAGGGGAGCCGTGACGAGTCGATCACCGAGTGCAGCGGATCATTTCCATGCAGTAATAATCATCATAATAATCATTTTGCACTGCAGACGCGGTAGTTCTTCTGCCTTAGCGTTACGGTCTGATTGCATTCCATGAAGTAATGATCATAAATTTTCTTCCTTGAACTGCAAAACTCCGCTGCACTCGGTGATTGACTTGTCAGGGCTCCCCCACAAACAAGAGACTGCTGGAGGAGAATGGATGAGTTGTGTTAACTCTCTTTGCTAAAGAAATCAGGCAAAGCTAAAAAAATGTTTGATGGCTAGTACTATGGCAGGGACCCTATATGTACTGTTGATGAAGTTAGGTGCTGTTCTCAGCATTATTTGTGGCTATAGAGTGGCTTTTTAGTTGAGGTTTGTTCATGGCTCCTCAGACCGCTGTGTATTGCTATTGTGCGGTCATTGCTGAAGTTGGTATAACTAGAGAAGCAAGTATTTGGCAACATTCATCTCTTGAGGGGGTGTCTGACTCAGTGTTATGGTTTGTTTGACCATGACTTAAATTTACGCTGGAATATCCAAGGATCAACTGGTGGCATTTTATCTGGACTGTAGAATAACTTATTAATTAAAGTGTAGAAAATTGTCTTTGTTATTCTGTCCAACTTTAAGATTGCTGTCATGGTCAGAAGAGGAAGAAAAAAAAATTCTATTGAAAAATTACAAAAAAAATAATTAACTTACACTTTGGAGGGTGTGCTGTCAGCACTGAACTACTCAGCCTTTATCAGACAGGTTAATGGGTTAGACTGAAGCACTTTCATGTTGTTCATTTTTCTTTTACTCAACAGTTTTAAACAAAACTGGAAAAAAAAAGTTTCAGTCGATAACAGAGGCCAAGCTGAAGAGGAGCTGAGGTTACCTTTGGAGCATAGAGAGCACAGGGGTCCATGTTTCCCTGTAGGCTGACCTTCCCTCCTGTACGCTCCCTGCAAAAACACACACACACACACACACACACACACACACACACACACACACACACACACACACACACACACACACACACACACACACAATCAGCATACACAGAGTAATCTTTTAACCAACAGGTTAAGTATTTGATGAGCCGAGCAGGAAACTCAGATGTTTGTTGACTTAAATTCTGCACCCGATAAGCAACCAGGGAAGAAGGAGAGGTCAGTAATGGTTAAACTGCTCCTCAAGAAAAACAAGAACTTAAACTGTGCTTGGTGCAAACATTTTCTGCAGTCTGATCATGACTGTGGGTTTTCAGGCTGAACCTTTGCACCTTTTTGTTGCAGTTAACAAAGATCAGATATCTCAGTGATTTAAATCTTCAACCATGACCGTAAGAGCCTGTCCTGAAATGTCTGCAGACAAGACCAAGACTGTGTGGCAGCAGCCTGAAGCCTCCTGTCTCTTGGCTTGTGCCTTTGCCATCTAAGCTTCTAATTTTCAAAATAAAAGCAATGATGCTGTTAAAATAAAAGACTTAAATACAGTAAAAATCCATTCTGTTATTGGTGCAATACAGGTATCTGTTAAAGATTCTACTGGCGGCCAGCAAGAAAGCTGTAACACAAAGGTGGATGCAGGTAGTTTCCCCAGCAGTGACTGACTGGATAGATATTGTGAATAATGTACAGAATATGAAGAGAATGACCTTCTCACTAAATCACCGGGTGGATACATTCATGCAATTTTGGGAAAAATGGATTGTGTTTGTGAACTCACAACCTGATGTTGTTCTGGAAATACTATGACTTCAATATGACTTTATTTTTGTGCCAATAAAAGGACTTTGCTTTCTTCACCTCACCACTCGATAATCTTTCAACCTTATTCTTGTAAGACAATGATTTCACTACAACTTTATTCTCTTGAGAAAGTCATTTAAAAATAAGGAAAATCTTTCAAAAAAAAAAAAAAAAATCTTTAAACATACTGTAAATGTTGATTCCCTGAAACTGTTGCATCAGAGAGGCCACTGAATTAAAACTCTGTTTTTACATTTTCCACATTAAACATTTGCAGAAAATGAAACCCTTTACTGTTCAAAGTCAGCAGGTGGAGGTTTGTTTTTTAATCAACTCCCCAGGAGAAGATAAGCAAAGACTGCTCTGTCTATAAGGGGAGCCAAAATTGAAACAAACCAAAAGTTCCTCACAGGAGCTTTAAAATGCACATCAGTGTGCTACAAAACTGTAGTGTATAATATTTCACATGCAGTGTACTGTTCACACTTTGTACCTTTGCCCCACTGCCACAAGGCCCCAGTGTTATTAAAATATATTCGCCATCGAATATCAAAGTCAGACCCAGATGCTGTTTCAAATGGTTAAGTCATCTCATGTTTAAACAACACATGGTAATCACAAATAAATTACACTAACTTCCAGAAATCTCCAAACCACAAGTACAGCTAAAACTTGAAACATTTTTAATTGATTGAAAAAAACATACCCGTGAGGCTATCTTCAAAAAACTTCATAATTTCTTATGTTTGACCCTTTAAATTGTCTGAAATGAGATAGGCGCTTCTATACTCAACTCAACCAACTTGACCAGACAGCCAGAGAGCTCCTGTGACAGACTTCACATAGAGCTTTGATTTAGCGCTGGTGTTGAAGATGCTCTCTTTTTACTCTGATTATTAGCAGCATTCATTGTGCTTTCAATGGTAGAGTGTGTGTCTGTGTGGATGTGTGTTTGTGTTACCGTGCAGATCGCGGGTCAACAGTCCAATCCAGTCCGACCACCTCGTAGTTAGACTGAGACAGCTCCTCCAAAGCGTAATGAGCATCCTTTGCAAAAACAATCTGTGACACAAACAGACAGAAAAGTGTAGAAACAGCAGATCTTCAAAGCAACTTCTGCATCAATGTTTGGTAAAATGCTGCCATCTTGTGGTAAGAAGTGGAAGTGTTATATTCATGAGACCAGATGGATGCTTAATGACCCCTCCTGGGACACACAGTGTTGTTGAAGCAACAGAGTGATGATAAGAATAGAACAGAGTATTGAAGCTTATACAGAGAGTAATTATTACCATGGAAGAAACAGAAAAAAAGAGCAATAAAAATAAATAGACACAGCTGTCACAGCTGACTCATTTGGATGATGTGTGGTGCTCATCATTAGCAGCTGACTTTGTCAAAAGTACTGATCCAAAAGTTAAAATAAGAACAACATAGGAGAAGAAAGTCCCAATGTAGAGATGTTTATGTACATCTATAAATAGCAGATATACATGCTCCTGCGTGCCGCTGTCACTCACCATGGGGACGTCTTGTCCTGTCTCCTTGAGTTTATCTTTGACACAGCGAGCTATGTCTCGAAGGTACGGCAGAGAAAACTCTTTAAACTCTGCTGGGCCCAGAATACCTGCATGAGACTCAAACACCTGCAGAGCCTGCAAATACACACCCACAGAAGAGGAAAACTTATTCATGAAAGTCTGCAGACAAACCCTATGACACACAACAAGTTTAACTCAACATTTACTCTTACAGGGGTTGATAAAGAGAGAAAATAAAAATGCAGCTTTTAATTTAAGAAGTCAGCCAACATGAAATATATTTGCATTTAACCTAAGTTGGTTTTTAAACCCATCTGATGAATTTCAGTGGTAAATCTATCACTTTTGGGCTCTACCTACCGTGTCTGTTTGTTTTTTTTTCTAGCAGTGATGCAACAACTTCTAAATTAACATATTGTATTTTCTTATCTGCTGATCAAATTGTGCTGTGATAAAAAAAATGCTCCTTCTTCAAAATTTCAATTGAACAAAACCATTTAATCTAATAAACCCATTACTTACATAGAATATTAATAATAAGATTAACTTTGAATCTCTTGTAGTGTCTCCCAGGGTACCCTCCTGGACCCTCTGTGGTTTCCTTTGCATCTGCTCCCAGGAACAAGAACTTTACAGGCTTGTGCCTTACCTTTCTATGCAGACTTGTTTCCTAAACTGTACATCTCATCTCTGCCCCTGCATACACAGTTTTTGAGGTAAAGACAAGTCTTGCTGTTTTATACTCAGCTGTTTCCTGCACAATCTTGGTCTCCAAATGGACCAAGCCCTAAGCTTGATGTCAATAATGTCAATAATTGTGTAATGTAGTAAATTGGTTAGTTCCTCTTTTTGCCTTTTAAGTGTGAGTGTTGTGTCCAGGGTTGAGCAAGAGATAAATATTCATACATTTGCTTTATCTCAGCTGGATTATTGTAATTTTCTTTTAACAGTTCATTTCTAAACCATGTACAAGTAATCCAAACTGCTGCCCTTAAGCTGCTGACAGAAACAACAAAAAGTCTTATGGTAAATCCGTCCTCAAGTCTTTACATGGCTTATGGTCAGTTTTTATGTGTAAAACATTACATGGTCAAGTTCCAGAGCTGCTTAAGCTTTGTAACTGTTAAGGGTTTGCTAATTGTTCCTTGGGCCTAACACCAAACCAAAGGAGACAGTGTGGTCCCACTGAGGACACTAGCATTTTTATCAGGCAAGGACGTTTCAGTCAAAGGGGGTGGTGATTAGTCACAAATTTGAAAATCATTAGAAATGTAAGTTCACTACATTTATTAATACAGTTTATGAAAAGATGTGTTGCCCCACCATTGTCTTGCCTGTATTCTATTTGACTAATTATTATTATTGTTATATTTTTTTTAAGTTTTCAATGTATTTTGAATTAGTATTGTTGGTGCATTATTCTATGGCCACAGTTTTCATGAGGTGAAAATCTAATATCATGTTAGCCCTACAAGAAGCCCGGAGTGACAGTGTACTTTCAAGCAGAAAGATGCATCCACCTACAGTCCAACTCCGAGTGATGTTTTTTTTTTTTTCACTTTAAGTGTTCTCAGTGGTCTTTAAATTGTAATTATAAAGTTTTTAGCCAAAATCATGTCAGCTGGGTCATTTTCAAGGTCTTTTCTTCTGCAGAGCTCCAGTAGCTCATTAGCAATTCACCTCTGAGTCGTGGGTGGAGACAGCGCTGCTCTGCACGCTTCTCTTCACGCTTCTCAGTAGCCCAACATTGCCAGTGTAGTAGAAGTGGCAGATAACATAGGAGCTATTCAGCCCTGGGACACTAATGTCTTTGGGGGACATGATGAAAGTTAATATCATAACTACGAGCATTGCAATTCACTAACGCACACGCTTGTTCCGCGATCTTTCTCTCTATTTTTCTGAGTCTGGCCTGCAGAGCTACATAGGAAATCTCACTCTACCTGAGCCTGCCGTTTGGGTCTGTGAGAGGTTTGAATACAGAAATACTCAGAAATGCAATTTTGCACTTATTTTTTCATATGTCCTGTAGCATCGGAAAAATGCCACATGAACATGTAGACACCAAGAAAACCATGATTTTCATCGCAGTGGGTCTTTAAAGATCTTTTTTAAATGACCGTATAATATCCCCTATTTCAGTCACATCAAAGTTTTCACATCAAGGTTTTACACTTGATTCACCAGCATTTATAAATTAACTGTGTTATCATAGAAGGTTTTCAAATCCTCTCAAAGATACTTCAACGTTAAACAAAATTATCTCCCTTTTCTCTGCTCGGACAGAAGGTCAGAGCTTGAGAAGACATGAGCAGAGAGGGTGCTTAATACCTCCTGAGGAGCTCAAAGCAGTAAAAGGACACCATGTTTGTCAAACTGTGGAGAAAATGTCGGCAAACTCAGCCTAGACTTTTTGTAATCATCCAGGTTAACTCTTTTGGGAAAAATGCTGACTTTTTATCTCTATACGTATGTATATATACACTGACAGTGAAGCAGATTTATTTCAGTCAGGGGTGTTTAAGGTGCTGCCAACATCAGTAGGTAGTATTTGTGACTTGATTCTGAAGTGCTCACGATCTGACGTCACCTGACGCACAGCAGAGCCTCTTACCTGAGCTCCAGCTGCCACCTGTCCCAGCAGATACTGCACCACCACATCTGTCAGCATCTTCAGCAGCATGTGGCTTGCCTCAGGGTGACGATACAGCCAGCGCTTTGCCTTTGAGTGGGTGTTTGAACCTCCACCTTCAATCATGTAAGACATTAGGGTCCACTGTGAAGAGAAACAACGACTAAATCAGATTTAAAAGATAAAATTCATACCCCAGTTTGAGGTTCATTATCTTTATGTTTAAATTTGAGTGTGTCTCATCTCTAACCGGAGCTCCAGTGAATCCTATGAGCGGCACTTTGCCCTCTATCTTGTGTCTGGTCAGTGTGATAGCTTTGAAGACGTAGCTCAGCTCTTTGCTCACATCTACTTTAGCCTGCAGACGCTGTAGGTCCTCTGGCTCCTTCAGGGGCTCTGGGAATGTAGGACCTTTACCTGAAACCATCTGGACATCCATACCCATGGCCTGAAGGGACAAAGTTCACGAAAGGATGAATAAAGACCAGGTTCATCAAAATTACACATAAGTTTTTGTTCTCTTTCAACTCATAACGGATATATAACTAAATGTCATTGATGCTAATTAACTCTTTGTGCAGGTTTAATTCACCTTATCTGCTCTAGAGTGGTTAAGGTACACGTATTCAAACCAAACCATTTCAGTACACTTTCAGGTCAGCTTCAACGCATGCCAAAACAGTCTGACACAGAACTTGAGGTAAGTAAAGTCTGAGGTCCTCAAAGGTAACCGGAGGAGTGCATCACACAACCTGTCCTAAAGATTACTGAAACATTGGTTTGAATACAAACTTTCTTGGCACATCCCCTCAAAACATACTGAGCCTGAACTTGTTTTCATCCATGATTCACTTCTGTCCTGTGAACTAAAACAGAGGTTACTGATGAGCATCGATTCATTTCAGTAAGGAGCAGGACGGGAACCAGCAAAAGTACACTCACATTGAGTAGATCACAGGAAAAAGGAAAAAAACACATTAAGTTCCATGCAGAGCCACATAAAAATAAACCAAACAAACAGGCCATTGGTTGATGGTGTCTTGATAATTCAATTGTAGCAGAGTCTCTGATGTGTTGCAGAGATCAGCATGTGGCATTCCTGTACGCAGTTTGTGTGTCTGTCTGAGTGTGTGTCTGCTGTCATACAGATAGTGCAAGAGCACATCTAAAAAATTTGTATATGTATGTAAATATATATGTATGTATCAAATATGTATGTAAATTTTTATAGCGGTTATTTTCAAATAGCTGTTTAGATACAAATACTTGCCCGTTATGTGGCAAACTGATCTGTGAAATAAGAATTTGACCGTTTTTGGCACTTTGCAAGGGTATGGACTATATTTCAGATCCTGAATGATTCCAGAATTATTTCATTTAATCTTTTTACTTAATTAATTTTTCATCAGGGCTTTCATACACACACTTCAATAAGTTCACACAGTCACACATGACATTTCTCATGCTGAGAAGAGATAAAACTCACCCCACATTAGTAACAGTATATATATATATATATATATATATATATATATATATATACACGCACCGGCCACTTTATTAGGTACACCTGTCCAACTGCTCGTTAACACTTAATTTCTAATCAGCCAATCACATGGTGGCAACTTAGTGCATTTAGGCATGTAGACATGGTCAAGACAATCTCCTGCAGTTCAAACCGAGCATCAGTATGGGGAAGAAAGGTGATTTGAGTGACTTTGAACGTGGCATGGTTGTTGGTGCCAGAAGGGCTGGTCTGAGTATTTCAGAAACTGCTGATCTACTGGGATTTTCACGCACAACCATCTCTAGGGTTTACAGAGAATGGTCCGAAAAATAAAAAATATCCAGTGAGCGGCAGTTCTGTGGGCGGAAATGCCTTGTTGATGCCAAAGGTCAGAGGAGAATGGCCAGACTGGTTCGAGCTGATAGAAAGGCAACAGTGACTCAAATAACCACCTGTTACAACCAAGGTAGGCAGAAGAGCATCTCTGAACGCACAGTACGTCGAACTTTGAGGCAGATGGGCTACAGCAGCAGAAGACCGCACCGGGTGCCACTCCTTTCAGCTAAGAACAGGAAACTGAGGCTACAATTTGCACAAGCTCATCAAAATTGGACAATAGAAGATTGGAAAAACGTTGCCTGGTCTGATGAGTCTCGATTTCTGCTGCGACATTCGGATGGTAGGGTCAGAATTTGGCGTCAACAACATGAAAGCATGGATCCATCCTGCCTTGTATCAACGGTTCAGGCTGGTGGTGGTGGTGTCATGGTGTGGGGAATATTTTCTTGGCACTCTTTGGGCCCCTTGGTACCAATTGAGCATCGTTGCAACGCCACAGCCTACCTGAGTATTGTTGCTGACCATGTCCATCCCTTTATGACCACAATGTACCCAACTTCTGATGGCTACTTTCAGCAGGATAATGCGCCATGTCATAAAGCTGGAATCATCTCAGACTGGTTTCTTGAACATGACAATGAGTTCACTGTACTCAAATGGCCTCCACAGTCACCAGATCTCAATCCAATAGAGCATCTTTGGGATGTGGTGGAACGGGAGATTCGCATCATGGATGTGCAGCCGACAAATCTGCGGCAACTGTGTGATGCCATCATGTCAATATGGACCAAGCTCTCTGAGGAATGCTTCCAGCACCTTGTTGAATCTATGCCACGAAGAATTGAGGCAGTTTTGAAGGCAAAAGGGGGTCCAACCCGTTACTAGCATGGTGTACCTAATAAAGTGGCCGGTGAGTGTATATATATGCATATAGTTGAATGAGATGAGTCAGATTCTAAACAGACTCACCTGTGGGATCACCAGGATGTCAGAGAAGATGATGGCAGCATCAAATGGGTAGCGTCTCAAAGGCTAGAAGAAGATACAAGAAAGACAGCAGTAAGAGAGAGAGAGAGAGAGAGAGAGAGAGAGAGAGAGAGAGAGAGAGAGGGAGGGAGAGATGAACAGTAAGAAAGAAAGAAAGAAAGAAAGAAAGAAAGAAAGAAAGAAAAATTTGTTCTCTTGTAGTTATGCAACACATCACAATTACATATTGCTGTCTTGTTAACGACACTATCTATTTACTCTACTGCCACTGCCTTTGAGTGATACAAATTTAAAATGTTAAATACCCTTCAAGTTTATTCACTCTAAAAGTCAGAAAGTAATAAAGTCAGTATCCTTGTGTTTATAAACCCAACAGGGTAGAATGATGCTTAAGTATCAGTTCTTCTGTCAATTCAACACATTTTTTAGCCATTTGAGGTATAAAACTCTACAATACAGCTTTGGATATAGGAAAAGAATGAACAATGTTTAGTCTGGAAAGTTTTTTTTTTACCTGTAGAGTGAGCTCACAGCAGGCCTCTGGTGAGCGGCATGTGTCGAAGAAGTCCTTCCCTGCTCTGAACTCACGAAACTCTGTAAAACAGATTTAAACTGTAAACTAATTCTGCTTAGAGCAGTTATGAAGTCTTTGTGTTGTTCATCCTCAACTTGTGCAATTAATCACTGTATTTGAAGTAAAAACAAACCATAAAGGAAAAAAAGTTTCTATTAAAGAGAGCTGGGACGGTTTCTTAGGTGGGATAAAGGGGTAGCACTGTCGTAAGTACCTGGCAGGTATCGTCCTGCTTGTCTCATACACCACACAGGGACATGTTCGGTTTCTTCCCCTCTTGTTGCTCTCAAGAACGTGTCATTCTGGAGCTGAGGGAAGTCCTTTGGGCTGAAAAGAATAAAATATGGTAGGTTTCTAAAATCAATACTGAAGAAACATCACCAAGTAAGCAAAATAGAAAATTCACATTGTGCCCATAAAAAAAAAAGAATTATCGTCAAGATCAGTCTGAGGAAACTGAGGTTTTACTTAATACAATGTTACACAAATTGACATACATAATAGCTCCTTACAAGCCTGAGGTAAAAAAGAAAATGTTGAATGTGAATGTCAAGAGACCAAATTCAAGTTTCAAAGTTACATCTTTTTTATACAATTTAGTTTAGCAAGCAACCTGGTAATCACAATGGGATGACAGCTACATTACAGCAGCAAGCATCTGTTATCTAACTGACAGGCATGTCCCTCCCTTTTCCAGCTGCAGAGCTGTTGATGATAGCATGATTATTCGAAATACCCCTCCTTTGCTTTCTTATCATCCTTTAACAGTAGAAAAAAACGGTTAATGGTTTCTCTGAATGTACCAGTGGTGCTTTGTATCCTGACTGTAACTTAAACACTGGTGAATATTGAATCATGAACTGGATCAAAAAAAGTAATGAAAAATAATGCTTTCCATTCATTTTAAACTCCCTACTATGTTGCTTTTATTTTACACTTTTATAGTGACTTAAACTTACTGTTTTTGATACACACAATCTCAATATGGCATAGCAGATCTACTCTCAGAACCTTAGTCTTAACTGTATTAGGAAGGAAAAAGTGAAACAATGATGTTATACTTTTTATATTCAACATAAATTCAACCACACAGACCACAGATTTTATTATCTAACTTATAAGTACAATGGACGTTTGGCCACTTCAAACTTCAACAAATACAAAAAATCATTTCATTTTGAATTAATGAATTACAATATTATGATTTATTATTAGGGCCGAATTTATCACAACATTCAAATGAGTTATGTCGACTAATTGTTTAACTCAGAGAGATAATTTACATTTAAATATGTGCAGATCAATATTAAAATACGGTTTTTACAAATGAGATTTCGCCACAAAATTAAGCGCAATACCACCCTGGGTGACTACATTGCATTATAGCTGGACTTTGTCATAATGATAATAACAATTGTATTAACATTTAAAAGTGTCTGTTAAAATATTTTCAGAACAGTGACATGGACAAGTTTTGTAATGTCTTTCCTAACAGCTAGCAGCTATAATCCTGGCTTAAACTTTGAGTTATCCTGTAAAATAGGACTAACAACGGCAGTACTTACAGGATTAAATCGCTCTTGCTCATGTCTGCGGGGTTGAGGTGATGACACGCTTTTTAGACGCTCCTCTGTCCCTCTCTAAAGATGATCGCTGAGACCTGCAGCTTCTGAACTGTCACTAAAACCTGCTTTGCACAACAGTCCCTTCACCCCCGCTGCAGGGCGCGGCCATCTTGGAAGACCACGTGATCATACCAGGAAACGGGCCGTTCATTAAAGGTAAAATGCGTCATTTAACACTTTTTGTCTTTACAGATTTTTATTTATTTATTTATTTTTATTAAATCTTAAATAGTGAGTTTTAGTTTGGAATTTACAGAGAGTTGTGGCGTTGGCTTAAAGAAAAAAAAATCTGTTGTTTTGTTAACAAGATAATTTTCAGAGAACTACATATCAACATTTTTGTAGAGTAAAATGTAACAAGATAATTATTTGTTAACTAAGGAAAGGCGACTTAAATAAATTATCTTACTACAAAATAATTGTTTCATTAATTTTGAACATGTTCATTTACAAAAGGTTTCCTTGTATTTTCCAAGATAATTTTGTCATTAATTATAGGCAAGAAATACAATTTCTTAAAACATAAATTTTCCTCATAAATCTTAGACAATTGGTTCAGGAAAAGACTAAGCATAATTTTTCTTCTTCAGCAAATGCAAATGGCTTCTGTGGAGACTTTTATATGTCAATTTTCTACATTTTATTAAATGGTAGGATAAATGCACCAAAAAACCTCATATTGTGCTGTGGTTACAGAATAACTGTTAAAAAAGGGAAAGAAAAATCATTAACATTGAAGTAAAATACAAATAAACAAAGGGCATTGAGAGTTAAGTATGTAAAAATCTAGCTGTCAGATTCTAAACTCTAAATTGAAACTGGTCGAAATGATCCCCCACTCAACCATGACTTTGAAGCTTTGGTGTCTATCAAGGACAATAGTCTCCTGTGAGGCGTATTAAGTATAACACAATTTTTTGTCACATTTTTATGATCAAAATTTCTAAATTCAATGTCTTGTGTGTACATCATACTCTCCTCTTCTCTGTCTACCAAATGTACTTCCCCTCACTCAGGACAAAACTGTGTAGTAGACACAGTAGACATGTTTAGCAAGTCTTCCAGGAGTATTTCTGCTCTTACAAATATGTAAAAAGTGCATCCTGAGTAGGAAACATACAAGGAATTCTATAATTATGTGATTTCCACTGATTCAAACATACTCATAAATATTGTAAGTCTCTTCGATGCTGCTTATTATGACACACTGCACCTTTAAAGAGTTCTTGATCCCTCACCATTGTTTGTACACATCTGCCTTAAATACTTGAATTTTACACACCATACTCTACATACAATCACTATTTTTTATACTGTGAGAACCAGTAAAATGTAAATATAATTTTATTTCCTTTTTGATACCAGACATGAAACCACATTCTCAAAGGTTGCTGCAACGGAATTTATTTGAAATAAGTGAGACATTAATCTTTTTCCATAATTGTTTACAATCATAGTTCAAATAATAGGTGTAGAGCTGAAAATGACGAAATGGAAAATTTAATGTACACATGCTATATCAAATTTACGAAGAGCCGGTGAAAATTCAGCATTGAGGTGAAAATCCAGATATTTCACATTACAACAACACATTTTACATAAATGAGGCAGCAGATTCCCCTTATATAGACTTACATTAAGAACTGATAAGATTTACAGCACTTCAATATGAAGTGAATTTTAAAGTGATTAGTTTCCTGTGGTCAACAAGAAATGGAGCGAACAGATGATTTTCAGTCATTAAACAACTTCTCTCCTGTTATTACAAAAATATGATGAAGGTGAAATGAATTTTGATGACCAAGAATAAAAAGCATGATTTTGCATGACTTTGCACAACTTCAATATCCCCCCTTATGAATCTTTTTTTCTCAAAATCCCAACATTTAATACTTAATTAGGACATGGAATCAAGTTTTTGACCTGAACAAGCTAACCTCAGTGTTCATCTTTTACCTGGACCTGGACACAGTTAATACTTCAGTATTACAATATTCACAAGATGACACGGGGTCATGATGAAATCTGCTGACACTTGAGTCTTAATTAGTTAAACGGAGGTCATATAAATTCCAAAAGTTATTTCTTATGATATTTAGCATGCCCTTTTGTTTTTTCTACATTATTTACACAGACAGTCTCCAAAAGGCAGCTTTTTGTGTCAGTACACAAACCCTCCCAAACTTCCAGCCTATTGTTTGTTTATCAACTCCATTGGCAATATTAATTAGAAACTAAGAATTTGCTTTGAATATATTTGAGGTACAATGCAAAAAAAAATAATAATAATAAATAAATCCCACAAAGTGTACTTGATTAGTTTGTAGTCAAAATAACTCATTATATTTTATACAAGCCATATCAACCTTATAAGTCCACATACAAATCTTATTTTTAGTGTATTAAGCCAATACTACGGGCTTAATTTTAAGTATTGAATAAAGTTTCCATTGCCAATTTGAGTAAAATTATCTAAAAAGGTTTTTTTTAATAAAAATCAAACTAAATCAAACTAAATATCTTATCAATCAATCTAATTTGCCTTGAAATATCTTAAGTTCAGATTTTTGAATGGACTTCTCAGACCGCTGTGGCTCATTTTTGGTGTAATGAGATGATTTAAACAGAAATCAAACATAGGAACTAAATGATATTTCAGTTTTATAATGTATAGATAGACACAGCAATCTGGTGTCAAAGGGAAAAACAAAAGCTTTCCTGTTGATAATTGTCAAAAATATTCTTAAATGTGAAATGTAATGGAGAATTAAAATGCTTTTAATATGCTTACACAGGAACAAGGATTTAAGAGGACACAGAAAAAGTCCTGGTCCTGCACACTGAGTTCTCACGGTAACATATAATAGAGTATATTAAGTTTATGTTAAGTTCATATAATTTGTTATTTATACATAAATTACAAGTCAAACAAGAATAAACAAACATATTTAAGGTGACTCCAAACATACTCTGGAGTCAGTATGAAATGTCCTGAGTGCCCCTCACTAAGGCTGCTGCTGGTACTGTCCCTCTGTGGCGGTGTAGAAGTCCTCCAGGACACTCTGCATGTACTCAAATGTGGGCCTTTCCTCAGGTTTGGCTTTCCAGCAGGTCATCATGATCTCATAAAGCTCTTCAGGACAGCCATTGGGCTGAGGCATCCTGTAACCGCGCTGCAGAGAGGACATCACCTCCGCTTTGGTCATACCTGACAACAGCACAAGCAGATGTACATGCAGAGGTAAAGATTTACAATATATACAATGTAAATGCACACACAGATCTTTCTGCTCAGCTTGAGAAAGTTCAGAACATTGAAACGGTTGCAGTAGATGTCTGATTCACTTAAGAGGGAGGTTTTGGTATTTTAAAGAGAGGCACTGTGGGTTACATGTCATGGTAGGCACGGCCTTATTACTGGGAAACTTCGAGGAGAGTGGCACACTAGCTAGGCAACAGTTTTTTTCAGCAACCAAGGTCAAGTCTGCCATGTAAATGACCCAAGCACTTATCTCAGTTTAGTGTTCACTCCAATGAGGAAGTTTTCAACACTTTACTTTGCCATAAGAAAGCCCGTTTTCTGCGGGTGGAGGTGCACATGTTTCTCATACAACCCTACTTCACCCCTACACAATGGTTGATTCACAGAAACAGGGCAGCAACAAGTGGAAGTATTGGATCAATTCAGCTAAATTTATGTACTTCTTAAATAAAACCACCAGCAGAGGGCAGCAGATCTTAAAGCAGAAACCCTACAAAACTCTATCATATTTCGGAAAAGATCTAAAATCTAAAATCTAATTTTAGCTGATAATATGTTGGTCACATGGTGGGACAGTCTCCTCATACCTGGGTATGGGATTTTCCCGTAGGTGATGATCTCATACAGAAGGACTCCAAAGGACCACATGTCTGACTTGATGGTGAAGGAGCCGTAGTTTATGGCCTCAGGAGCCGTCCACTTGATGGGGAATTTGGCTCCTGTGGAAAAGACACAAATAGCTACTCAAAAAACTGGAGTAACTCACTCATGACAACATTAACTGTAAGTTAATCTGACATTGTGAAATGACTCCTAAGAAAAACATTCATGATGTTTGGAAAATGACAGTTATTTTCTGCTACTGTGTGTAAAAACAAATCAGCAGTGTACTCACTCTGTGACACTCCCACACAGTCTGTGTAACATGTCAGGAGGCATTTATTTGTTATCTTGCATTTCTGTCTAATCTCCACTCTGCTGCAGATTCAGAGTCAACCCTATCAAAACACTGTCTACTTCAAATATTTATTCACATGTCGTTATCAGATGTTAATAAATTAACTTTGTTAGTGGTTCAAGTTCTGCACATGTTTTGGTCTTCAGGATCAGGTGCACATAAAAATGTACCTAATAAATAATTTTAAAAAGTTACTAAACAAGTCTAAGTCATCGAAGTCCTCATTTTCTAAATGACTTGTCACTTCTGCCTTTTTTTTCCACAGAAGGGGGTTTTATTTTGCTGTCAAAAATTTCGAGTACTGTAGTTGTAATGGGAAATAACATCTCACTTAAAATAAAAACTGAAACTGCTTAAATTATCAAAAAAACAAAAAAAAAACAAAAAAAAAACACAAATTCCTGAATATATAAAGAGATGCACAGACACACACACACACACACACACACACACACACACACACACACACACACACACACACACACACACACACACACGGTTTACCCTCTCTGGCCGAGTATTCGTCATCCTCAATGACTCTTGCCAGACCAAAGTCAGCGATTTTACAGAGCAGACTCTCTGAAACCAGGACATTAGCCGCTCGAAGGTCTCTGTGGATGTAATTTTTCTTCTCTATGTATGCCATGCCCTCCGCTATCTACAACAACACCACAGAGAAGATTTAACACAGAGGATGCACAACCCCAGGTTACATTTTTACAAGCAGGACAAACATATTGACATTTAAAACAACAAAGGCATCACAAAACTTATATTATTTAAAAGTTATCCACATCTGTACATGAACCAACTCCACAAAATAAATGTTATCTATTGAACCAAACCTGCATACTGTACAAACTGAGCTTATAAAGGTTGCTCTAGTCAGGATGAGTCATGGTTGGTATAAAATTTACTAAACTGAGTTCTTCATTAAATTTATTTTAAGTCGTGCATAAACTCACTATTAATTAAACAATAAAACACTGAAAGATGTGTACCCTAATTGGAAAGTGTTACCCTTTTCTTCTAGTTTCTTTATAATGTGGCATCAAAATTTACTTTAACAGAATTATACAGCATTCAGTTTAATAAGAATTCCCGTGGTAACACTTTGCAATTTGTTCCCTAAAGTAACAAAAACAGCACTTTTCTTTAAAAGGATCAGCTCCATCAAAGTCTGAGCAAAGATTCAGTCAATGTTTGTCAGTTTATTCACACAATTTTATTTATTTTTAGTAATATGCTTTGACTTTAGATAAGCTTTGACTGAAAACTCTGGATGTTATCTGAAGAGTTTAAGAGAATCGAACAACCAAATCTTACGACGGACACTTTTTTAACCACTTCCCTTTAAAAGAGCAAAAGAGAAACAGAAGGACATTGGTCTTTCAAGGAAACTGGCTAAAAATCAAACCAATACTATTTTAGCCAACACAGAAGTTGAATGTGAACTGTGTAGCGTCTGATTTGTACTTTTGGTTGTGGTTCCTCTTTTCAGTTCAGTAATGGAAAGAATGATGCTCTTTCTTTCCTGTTGCGTGTAGGACAGCAAGCTTTGAATAAAAAATTGTCATGTTTTCATCGGTATAAAACATACCTGTGCTGAGAAATCAATGAGCTTTGGTAGCTGCAGTTTACATCCTGCATCACTCTTTAAAAAGTCCAAGAGGCTCCCTAAAGACAAAACCAGCATAAGACGGTATTGGAATCTGATGAGACAACATACAGCTACAGAACTCCTGATATTTGCCTCAATGAATATGTGCTTATTTGAGATAGGCCAGAATATTACAAAACCCAATTCCACTAAAGTAAGGAAATCGTGATAAACATAATTAAAAACAGAATACAATGATTTGCAAAGTCTTTTCAACCTATATTCAATTGAATACACTACAAAGACAAGATATTTAATGCTAAAACCCATAAACTTTATTTTTATTTTATTTTTTTGCAAATAATAATCAACTCAGAATTTCATGGCAGCAACATGTGCCAAAGTAGTTGGGAAAGAGGCATGTTTACCACTGTGTTACATCACCTTTCCTTTTAACAACACTTAATAAATGTTTGGGAACTGAGGAGACTAATTGTTGAAGTTTTGAAGGTGGAGTTCTTTCCCATTCTTGCTTGATGTACGGCTTCAGTTGTTCAGCAGTCTGGGGTCTCCGTTGTCGTATTTTACGCTTCATAATGCGCCACACATTTTCAATGGGAGACAGGTCTGGACTGCAGGCAGGCCAGCCGAGTTCCTGCACTATTTTACTACTAAGCCACGCTGTTGTAACACGTGCAGAATGTGGCTTGGCATTGTCTTGCTGAAATAAGCAGGGGCGTCCATGAAAAAGACGTTGCTTGGGTGGCAGCATATGTTGCTCCAAAACCTGTATGTACCTTTCAGCATTCACAAATGTGTAAGTTACCCATGCCTTGGGCACTAATGCACCCCCATACCATCACAGATGCTGGCTTTTGAACTTTGCGTCGATAACAGTCCGGATGGTTCTTTTCCTCTTTGGCCTGAGGACACGACGTCCACTATTTCCAAAACAATTTGAAATTTGAACCTGTCAGACCACAGAACACTTTTCCACTTTGCATCAGTCCATCTTAGATGAGCCGAGGCCCAGAGAAGCTGGTGGCGTTTCTGGATGTTGTTGATAAATGGCCTTTGCTTTGCTTTGTAGAGTTTTAACTTGCATTTACAGATGTAGTGACGAACTGTATTTACTGACAATAGTTTTCTGAAGTGTTCCTGAGCCCATGTGGTGATATCCTTCACACATTGATGTCGGTTTTTGATACAGGGCCGCTTGAGAGATCAAAGGTCACGGGCATTCAATGTTGGTTTTCTGGCCGTGCCACTTATGTGCAGTGATTTCTCCAGATTCTCTGAACCTTTTGATGATATTATGGACCGTAGATGTTTAAATCCCTAAATTCCTTGCAATTGTACTTTGAGAAATGGTGTTCTTAAACTGTTCGACTATTTGCTCGCACAGTTGTTCACAAAGTGGTGAACCTCTCCCAATCCTTGCTTGTGAATGACTGAGAATTTTTGGGGAAGCTGCTTTTATACCCAATCATGGCACCCAGCTGTTCCCAATTAGCCTGCTCACCTGTGGGATGTTCCAAATAGGTGTTTGATGAGCATTCCTCAAATTTCTTAGTATTTTTTGCCACCTTTCCCAACTACTTTGTCATGTGTTGCTGCCATCAAATTCTAAAGTTAATGATTATTTGCAAAAGAAAAAAAAAATAAAGTTTGAGTTTAAACATCAAATATCTTGTCTTTGTAGTGTATTCAGTTGAATATAGGTTGAAAAGGATTTGAAAATTATTGCATTCTGTTTTTATTTATGATTTATCACAATTTCCCAACTTTAGTGGAATTGGGTTTTGTATTACACAGCCTCACAATTTGTAGACTGCTTCACATAATACCATCAGCCACGTATCAGTTACTTACCATTTGCCATGAACTCAGTGATGATATAGATTGGGGGTGTCTTGGTGACGACAGCGTAGAGACGCACCAGCCTGTCATGCTGCAGCATCTTCATGACGTTGGCTTCATCCAGGAAAGCCTCAACTGTCATGGTGCCCGGCTTCAGCGTCTTCACGGCTACCTTGGTGGTGTTCTTGTAGAAAGCTGGAGGAAGAGAAAGAGAAGTCAATGATATGATATTTCCATGAAGAAATAAAGTAATCTGTTTGATCCGTTCTTGGGATGAAACTCCTTTTCTGCCACCATGGCTGAACTGGTTTAACTACAGAATCATTACAAGCCTTTTTTAAAATCACAAATGTCATACTTTATCCTAATTGGTCAAAACTACCTGATAAGCAATTCTGTATAGCAGGAGCAAAGCCATGGACATCCAGATCCAGATCAAGCACAAATCTAATTTCTGCCTTGATTAAGGTAAAGCAATAGGTCCTGAGTGACAATAAGTCTTGTCCTGAACAGCAGCAGCAGAGCTGGTGAGTTGCTGATCTAGATGGAGTAACCTAAATCAAAGGTGACAGCATTTGTAATGTTAAAGGTGTGCCTACTTAAAGCTCTGATTGAGGAAAGATTAAAAATAAATATTACTCTACAAGTCCTCTTCAACCTTTCAACAGTACCATCAAATATTCACTTTGACATGAATTTTGAGAACTAAACAGGCTAATGTTTGACTGTGAACTGGCCATGAGTTGAACAAACATTTTTATTTAACCTTTTAAATTTTGGTAGTTAGGTAATTATAAAGACAATGGGCTCTATTTTCGTGTCCGCCAGGGACACGGCGGAGGGTGACGGACCCCGCACAGTGGTATTTCCGTCTGGTGGAGCCGGGTGGCGCAGATGGTTCCGATTATAATGCCATTTTTGGAGTTTATGTTGTGATCTGTGCGCACAACCCACCTTTGTCACGTGAGGTTTGAATATATGCAGTGTTGTTTTTGGCAGGCATTTTAGATTTAGTTTTAGTCTTAGTCATTTTGACGAAATGCTTCTTCGTTTTAGTCCCATTTTAGTCATTTCTATCCTTGATAGTTTTCGTCTAGTTTTAGTCCGACCAAAACTCAAAAGGTTTTCGTCTAGTTTTAGTCGACGTAAAGGTGCCTTTTGAGGTTCGTGGTGTTCTTTCCCGACAGTTTGAAGCATGAGGAAGCTGTGGCTCCACAACTGTCGTCTGTCTCGTCTCCCCGTCCCGTGTTTTATTGTCACTTTTATCTTATTGTCACTTGAACTGTATCTGAAGTAGGACCAAAAATCATCCCTCTTTTTTCGGCCACCGGGCACCGCTGCTGTGCCTGCCGCCACGGTGTGTGTGTGTGCGCGCCTCGTCCACCTGCCGCTCTGTGTATGTGAATGAGTGTGTGCGCGCAGCTGTGCGCGAGCGAGGCTTTTGCTGCGTGTGTGATGGGGGCGTGACTGTTAGGACAAAAAAAAGCATGTTTTGAAACTTTGTTCGTCCACCTAATAACAATTTAGTCTTGTCTCGTTCTCGTCTGACGAAAATGAATATAATTTTCGTCACATTTTAGTCTTTACAGAGCTTTGGTGACGTTCGTCTTAGTCTCATTTTCGTCAAGGAAAAAAGGGGTCTGACGTCGTCATTTAAGTTTTCGTCCTGCCTGACGAAAACAACACTGAATATATGCAACTTTATGTGAGTGTCTTTATTTGTGGAAAAGGGTGTTTGTCTTACCAATGGGTCCAACATTACACACACCAAACCCCTCTGTGCTCATATGAGAGAGTGTGCAGGACGCCCTCTGCAGCGCTTACAGCGACACTTGTTGAGGGGCTGCCTTCTGTCGTCATCGTGTGGCATTACTGTCTTCAGACATCTCTTGATCTCTTTGACTACTTCACTAGTACTTGTAATACGCCTCGCCGGTGGCGAAAACAGCTCTCTCTCTTTTTTTGCTTTTGCACTGAAGTTGTGACTCTTGTTTTCAACTCTAAAACTAAGCCCTTATTATCTTTTGCTGACATATATTTAGCAATGGTCTGTTAACATCAATGTATATCTAAAGGTAAATGGAGTAAAATGGTGCATTTCCATAAAAGCAACATCTGATCATGGAGTAAATACATCCCAAAATACATGAAACTCATGCTGGATTTAAAAAAAAAACATTGTGAACAAAAACTTGAAGTTACTCCCAACTGTTTGGCCTGTAATGGCCTTGCTTCCAAACTTTTGGCCTGTAGTGGATAACTGTTAAAAAAAAAAAAAAAAAGTCACTTGTATCAACTTTCCCCCAATGAGGAAACCAAACATTTCAATTTCATATTTAAAACTCAAAATGCCAGTTTTCTGAATCGAGTCCACATTAAACTAGAAACCAAGATTAAAAAAAAAAAAGTATTTCATAGAAATTGCACAGAAGGCCAAGAAAACAACCATGTTTATTTACTTCAGCCACATTTAGCTGTAATCAAATATTCAATCAGGTGTATACACAGTGTAGTCGAGCTACCGCTTTAGCTCGATTCGGAGATGTAACTGGGCCACTTTCCTCATCCAAGTTTAGGAGCACCAAGTAAGAATCTAATTATTGACAGAAGCATGTCCACAGGAGCAACTAGCCTAATGCTAATTATGAAACTTCATTGTGAGGCTTGTAACATACTTTTTTTAAACTGGTCTATTATTATTAATGTACAAGAACTATGGATTCTTGAACATGAAAATTTCACTCTCAATAGTACAAAACAGTTTTTAAAATTGACATGCCTGTGCCATTTATGTCATGTACCTCTTTACACCACACAACAAGTAAAATGGATGACTCTTGAAAATTTGTGATGACATGACCAATTTTGTCTATAGTTGCTCAGAAACAATGGACAGCTCAACTTCCCCAAAAGCTCAAATCTCCCATTCTCTCTTATTCACTTATCACACAGAGTGGACTTGTATGGATGAAAAATAAGAAAAACTTGTTGATAAACACGCTTTAGGTGAGAGATATGTGAGAACAACATTCACTGTGTTTTCACCAACAGTTTAGTTGAACTACAATCAATAAAAAGATTGTTAAGAGTCCTGCAGTTCTGGTCTGATTTGAATCCCAACACGTGTCAAGTGTGACTTGAGTCTCCTCTAGTAGAAACACAACTTAAAAAACTACTCAGAAGTACACAAGTACACAATGAGCTACTCAGCTCCAGTAACTTGAGTAAATGCTATTAGTCACTTTCCATCCCAAGATGATTTTCAATATTTCACTACAGTAGTTACAGAGACTGTTTTAAAATTAAACCTGAATGGCTTATATAACCTTGTTTCATCACTGCCTCTAAAAAAAACAAAAAAAAAAAAACAAAAACTGTGTTTCATTGTCTTGTACTTCTCAGCCCTGGAGCATCACTTCCTCCTCAATACCCGCCCCCTGAAGCAACAGAAACCACATTGCATGTTTTCAACCCTTCTCATTTCAAAGAATTGAAACTGCATGTAAATACTTGATCACAGTCTCAGTATATTTTTTTTATTTAAAAGGTGTAAAAAGGAGAAACAGTAAAGGCTGTCGGTAAGTTTCAGACCACTGTGAGGTTTTTTCATAAACCGTGGACTTAAACATAATCTCTCTCTGTCTGTGGTGTGTGTCATCACCCATCACCACTCCCAAACTTTTGATGCAAATCTCTCCAGACTCAAACATTTCCTTCATAGATGATCAAGCTGACAACCCTGATGTACATGTGAGTTTGAGCTTCCCAGACCCGTCTTTTCTGCATGTTTGAAACACAGTACCAGAGAACGCAGTCAGCCCTGACAAATATGTGATACACCTAATAGGTAACAAAAGGGGGAAGTCATTTTTGTTTTAATTAGGGGGAAATGGAACTTCCCAGTACTGTTCACTTCTGCAGCTCTGCAGTTTATTTACATAAAACAAGAGAAAGATTTACAAATCCTCTGACCTGCAAAACTGAGACAGGCTTACTGTCACTCCACTACCAGCACCAGTGGGCCATTTATGGGGGTTTGTTGAAGGGGCTTTCTGAGTTTATTCAGCATGTATTCAGCCTCTTTCAAAATAAAAGGCATTGTGCCACAAATGGGCAATGCTGTTTGGTAATGTTGATTTATTAGCTGTCATTGGTTCAGTCTGCTTGAAGGGGGGGTCTAACACTGTTTCTTTAAAGCATGATTTCTGTCTTTGATGTTAAGCTGTTTTCTTAACACTCAAACTACCAAGGCAGTCATTTTGACTGCTTTCAAAATTTACAGTCACAATTAAAAAAAAAAAAACCTATACACCAGTCGCACCCTGACCTTTCCTAAAAGTGTGGATAGTTTATTCTTACATTTTATTATCATTAAAATTTCAAAACACAAAACAGATCTGAGTAATACTACCTTGAACTACCAGAGCAGTCAAATTGACTGCATGCTTTTTACAAAGGGTGTTATATTTCAATATTTGCCACATTTTGCCACTCGTTCTTCTGCTCTATTGTTTGTTTAGTACTTTAAGCTCTGTGAAGCTGAAATCTTGCGATAACTTTACTCAAAACTCAAGAGACTCAAAAATGACAACAAGAAGAAAAATGACAAGTACTGAGGCTTTAGCCTTGCTTTAGAGCTGATGAGGAAGAATCTGATGGATGAGGGAATGATGTGTCTTAGTATTTTGAGGAAGGTTCTTAAAAATCTCATTCATTATGATTTTCATTTTGTGTACTGGTGTGTTTTTTATCTGTTCTACCAATTTTTTATTAGTTTTTATTGTTGATTATCCAAATTATGTGCAAATAAAGACTGGGCAGTCGGAATGACAGTAGACCGTGTGTTAAAAAAAAAAAAAATGAATCATGCAGAGCATTTTTACACAGACCTGGTGGTCAATGAGCAGAGATGGAGTGTGGAGGAGAGTGGAAGTGCCATGAGACAACTCTTGTAACCTAGCAACTGCGCTGCTGGTGCAAAAAAACATTGAAGTGGACACGACCAGCTCAAAAAGTCCTTGTGCCTCCAGTCTAAACTGTTGATTATTATCCTCATATTTATTCATAATTTCTTACTAAAAAACTAAATGTAGTTGTTTTGTTGTTCCAGATGTAAAGCATTACATTTTAAACCTATGTGTTAGTCCACCCCTCACCCTGTCCCAGAGCGTTGAATAACCATGTGTGAACTCCTTAGTGAAACCTCCTCTGTCTTCACTGGTGAAGAGATGGGACTAATCAAACCAAGACAAAAATCTGCAGACTCACCCATCCAGACTTCTCCAAACTGTCCAGCTCCGAGTTTCTTCACCATGGAGATGGACTCTTTGGAAATTTCCCAGGCGTCTTTGTCCCACGGCTTCTGAATTTGGGGTTTTGCACATGGACGATCCAGTTTACGACACAGGCCATCCGCTTTATCTGACGGTACGCACACAAATATGCACATTTAGAGCTGAAGCCTTTCCATTGGTTTAGTAATCTCAGCAGAAAAAGTACGATTTAATCATGACACCTTTTCAGGTACTCTAAATCAAGGTTTTAGCATAGAAATATGTCAGTAAGTTTGAGTACTAGTACACAGGCCTGTGAGTATACATGAAGTTTTTTCTGAAATAAAGATGTTTAATGCCTCTGTAGCAGGAGCTGCACTCACTGTGATAGTGTTTGATCATTGCACTGATGTCACTGAAGGACACTTTTGGAGAGATGTAGTATCCACCATTATCCAGCTTTCTGATTTTATAGTGTTTGACAGAGTCTGTCCCCTTAGTGTCCACGTCTCTGATGGACAATGAGTAGCTTCCTTTGAAACAAATACAAAAGAGAGGGCGACTGGTTACTTAAAATCAAGAAGGACAGTTGTCTGATCTGTTAAGTGATTGTATGTGAATACATCTTTGTTTCAAGGTTTATGGGGCTTAGAGACCTTTTGATGTTTCACTTTCCCTGATGAGAAAAGAGCCGGGTTTGTTCGCTGGTGCCAGCAGCTGCCTCTCTGCATCCTTTCTAGTGATGTCCTTGAAAAACCACCTTCAAATATAAAGAACTACACTTCAAAAACAAATAGCCTTACTTCTCAGATATACTGTAGTTATAAGTCTATGCACAATGTAAACAGTGCACGTGCTATTGTAGAATGCATTGATTAAAAACAAGAAAAAGCCAGGTATCCAGGTGTAGCTACTCACGCCTCTGTTTCCATGGTGTCAGCTTGAGCAACATAATTAGATGGTATAAATCCTTCTTTGTTGGTTGACAGTGATTTTGCTTTCCACCACTCTCCATGTCTGCAAGAAAAGATAACATGATTTAGTACAGTTGATGTACTATTTGGCCTTTGACTTTCAAAGGGTCCTACAAAACCAAAGTGTCTGAAAACTATGAACTAGCAACTTTAAATCCTGATTTACTAATTTTGTTGTTTACTAAAATTGCTGATGATATATGCTCATTCAAAATTTGGTGCTTTAAAAAAGTTTGGACAGGGGCATAGTCATCTTTGTGATGTAACACCTCATCTTTTAATAAATGTTTAAGAACCAAGGAGACTGATCTCTGGAGTTTTGAAATTGACATGCTGTCTGATTATTGCCAATATAAGACTTCACCTGCTCAGCTGCTCAGGGTATCCTCTGTTGTAACTCATGGGTCATAATGCAGCAAATGTTTCCAATGAGGTCACTGAAGCAGCCAGACCTTTTAACAATGGAGCCATGCCAATGTACTATAATATTTGCAGAATGTAGTTTGACAGCTTCTTGCTCTATTATGAAAGGTCTTCCAGGAAAAGTTATTGGGCTCTATTTTCGTGTTCGCTGGGGACGCGGCGGAGGGTGGCGGACCCCACGCAGTGGTATTTTGGTCTGGCGGAGCCCGGTGTACAACCAGTTTGGTATTTTCGTGGAGTGAGGCGCACCGAGGTCTACCAAGCTGGGCATGGTGGCATGGCAGGGGGAGGTATCAAAAGAATCAGCTGGCGTAGTGACAATTTCGTGCTCGTCACCGGCGTGTAAAGTGCGCTGAAAGCTCGCCGATTCAAACCTGGTCAGCTTTCAGCGCAGGCGGAGCGCAGCTGGTCTACTGGTATTTTTAAATTATTAAATTGATCATGTTATTCCAAACATCTTAAAGCCAGCTTTTTCCAATTGAATATGTCATTTTCAGCCTTTGAGGTATTGTATCATCAGAGATTTTTGCATCTTGGGTAGAATTCAAAGTTTGTGCTCTGAAGACTTTTTTGTGATGCAACAGTCAGTAATGATGGACGAACCATGCAGATTAAACAGAACTCAGTTTTGGACCTTGTGTGAGCAATGACCCCTGTCTTATATGATGCAATCAGTCCACCATTGGTATCAGACACTCACTCCTCCAAGATTTTCATCATCTCGCCCTTCTTGAATCCTAAGTCGTCTGGATGCACTGCTTCATACGGATAAATGCTGACCATTATTTTGCCGACCCTTTGTGCTAAGAGAGGAAACAGAGAGATGTTGACATTTTAGATACTTTTCAACAAATTGTATAAGCCCACCGTTGCTCTGTGCTGCAAACTGTGTCATATGATCACTGAAAATCCTCAAGATACGACGACATGACAAACAAATATAGCGTCAAATAAAGCGACTGCACTCATGAAGTAGCAGCCTGGGAGGGCTTTCAAAAAATAAAAAAATAAAAATAAAAGAACCAAAGCGCTTGATCTTTAAATGGAGTATCCAACCAGAAACCCCTCACAGAAGCTTTAATCAAAACATTTATTTTTTGCAATGACAACTGCATATGGATGTAGCTTAGCTTGGACTACCTATGTTGTGTAGAAACTCAAAGAAAAACTATATTGATAAAATATACAGATAAGGTTCAATAAGCTAATGACTATCAATCAGCTGTCATGTTGAAGAGGAAGTAGATATATTTAAAGAGCTGTTTTTTTTTTTTTTTCCAGGAACAGAAAAAGCCATAGTTGCGCTTTCATTAAAAGGGTTGGCCTACTCCACAGCTGTGGAGTGGCCAAAAATGGGATCAGCTAACTTTCTGTCATCTAAATGATATTAATTATCCTTTAAGAGAGTAGTCTTATTAAGTATACAATCAAACAGCCAGTCTTTTGCTAAGCTGCCATAGTACAGTAGTCTGTGATCTCGACACAGGTATGCCATAGTTAGGATGATTTCAGAGTCCCTAAAACTATAAGAGATAAAAATTCTACAAAGCTGAGAAAAAATAACAGCCTCCGTGTTGCTAAACTCCCTTCTCTAGTTAAGTGAAATGGTATGGTCCTCCCTGAAACCTGGTGCAAGTGAGTGAGGAAAGTAAAGTCAACAATATCATATCAAAGATCCAGAAATGACCGCATATAAAATAGAATTAAGTGAAGAAGGTTGACAGCATGTCAGCTAGAGTCTCTAAAATGCAATTAATAGTGAAGTCTATTAAAAATACACTTCTCATGCTCCCTTCACATTAGTTAGCTCATCATTTTAGCGTCTCAATCTGACCCTAAATGAATATTTTTAACTTTTCTTTACACAACCAAAATTAACAAGAGCAGACGGCTATTAAAGGGGTGAAAATACCAAACATAATTACACATTTTATTGCTTGAAATAGACAGGAATAGACATTATGATATACAAAAGCAAAAAAAAAAAGACTAAGGCAAGATAGATGGTTTCTAATTTGTAATTTTTGATAAACTGATACCTCAAACCAACACAAGGAGAGATGGCAGCCAAACAGCTGGGTAATCAGAGTTTACCACCATTAGCAAAGACTGCTTTGTCCACAGGGGGCACCAAAATTTGCCCAAACCAAAATTTTGTCACTGGCCATTAAGTAAAACATATGTTTTTCAAAATTTCCTCTTGACCATGATCACACAGTGGAGTATTTTTAGGGTTGGTTTGTGCTTGGGTAGCAAAATGGTTTGCTCCATGATGTATTGTTTTCACGAAACCCCAAATTTGGTGGTCGGAGAGGCCACAGGCGCAGATTGGCAGTCACATCTCCATCAGTCTGCCCCAGAGTAGCTGTGACGACTAAGGTAGTTTACCACCAGGGTGTGACTGTGTGAGCGAATGAATAAATTATGTATCCAATATGAGCACTCTGAGGTTTACCGATAAAGTGCTTTATAAAATCTGATGCATTGTTACTGTTAAATCCCTGGTGGCGCCCCTAGTGGTACACAGATAGAATTTTCCAGAATGACTTGAATCAATGAGAAAAAGCCATAATATCTGACAAACCCTCATAAGCCCAATTAAACTTTGCTGTTAGGGTTTTTAGCCCAACTTTTAGCACCAATAGAGGACTTTGCACTTTGTCACAAGATCACACAACAGGGATTTGGATTTGTCAGTCAGCACTTTAAGGCTTCAGGTTTAACTGTCCTTAGTCACAGGTGTATTTCTCTGTTTTCTAAATGCAAGAGCCCTCCTACCCATTTAGGCTGTGCTATAGGCCACCAACAAAAGTAGTTAATGAAGAGATGTTACAAAACAGAAAAGAAAAGATGTGAGGCATACCTTCCATTTTTTGAAACACCTGACCAGGTAACAGGGAGTTATTCTGCAAAGACAGACCAAGAAGTAATGGAATTATTTTCTTGCTTTTTCTCCGGTGAGCTCAGATAGCAGATTTCAGTGTTTTATAACCTTTAGTTTAGGTTATTTTGCTCATCATTAAAAAAAAAACAGGACAGCGAAGATCAACATATACTAAAGCATTGTGCAGCCCAAAAGCCCCAGAAGGCCTATGAAGATGCCGTCCCTCCAGGATAGACAAAAGATGTTTAAAGCAGCAGTGCAGGTCAAATAAAAAAAATTACAACATGCTTATATGCTTACAAGAGAGGAGGTACAGCAAAACTTTCTAGTAAGTAAAGGATTTTTGAAAGCTGTTAATGAAGATCTGATTGTAGAGATGTAGGTCAGTTGTCCCAGAGATGGTCCTCTGTATGTGATTTGATTAAGAGAAGTCCAACAAAATGGGAAGTAAAGGTCTTTTAGCCTTTAATAAACTGTTTTGATTCGCTCAGCTGCAGCTTTATGACTACTTACTATGTTGTTTTTTGTATTGGAGGTGGGGTCCCTGACATAGTGGGTTTGCTCGGTACGTACAGTCTGCTGGCTGTTCTTTCTCTCCAAGCTGCCGCTCAGCGAGGACTTCATACAGCCCATCCTGCCTGCATGAGGAAGTAAGAAAAAGGAAGAGTGAACTAGTCTGGTAGATATTCACCCTTCACAGCTGCTGAAACAAACAACACCTGAAACACCTCTGACATTATATCAAAAATAAAGAAGAACTAAACCACCAAAAGTGTCCCTTTTCCATTTTTGTGAAAACTTTGATTTAAAAATAGTCTCAGGGGAAACAAACACGTCAATCAGAAACTGTAAAGCAGCAGCAGGTGTAGTATTGGACATGTTATAACTTTAATGTAGATGAAACTATCAGAAAATTACATGACATTGATTTGAGTGTTACAGATTCATGTTCATACCGTACAATCACAATATGCCTGTATCTTAGGGTAAGGGGTCCATGTATAAGAGCTATAATGGTGTATGGAGACTAACATTAGGCATGTCTTCATTTGGAAATAAAAAAATAAAGCTGAAAAAGAACAACCGTGTGGAAATATGATCAATTATGTTATTTGTGGCAGTGAAATCTGATAAATTAATAAAAGGTGCAATTTAATATGTTTGGAGTTGGAGTTATCTCTAACTTTCATGGCTGTTTGTTCAGTTTAAAAAACTGTATTGTTTTTCTTTTAGTTGTTACGACACAGCTGTTCAGCCATGATGCAGGTTTGTCTTTATAAAACAGTAACAATTAAATTGGCTATGGATCAAAATTATTTTTCCCTCAGATCACCGAATTGAAAGAAAATATTTTCAGCTGTTAAAATAAAGTCCTTCATAGAGTGAATTGGATGCAAAAAGAACATGTGCTGGGTGCTGCACAGTGATGGAGAAAATTTTTATAAATGGATTTTTTCCTCAAGGGCTTCTGGTTGTTTATGGTAAGGCTGTTCTCTGCCAACCACCAGGAAGCCCACAGACACTATTTGTATAGACACAGTCAAATAATGGGAAAATCATTTTAACCTCAAGAGTTCATTCCTGTGCAGCTTTGCATTTTATATGAGACTATTGCCAACAGAGAAAACCCAACACAGAATGTCATCTGTGTTGAAGAGACACACAGCTAAATTCAGAATATACCTCATATTATCATGGGACACAATGAGATATGATACAGCTCAAAATGATACCATGATAAAAGATATGTCACGACCAGACAGGAAACAATCAAAACAATACCATAATACTGATAAGATATATTACAAAGTGATATAATGATAGAAAATATTAAAAAAAGATTTAGGATACAGTACAATATGATGTTATTTTGCAAAACGATTGAAGACCTGGCTTGTGGGCTCTTTCTTTAAGGCAGAAATTTCACTGCCATGGTGACAACATAGGAGGAGAGTCTGATTAGTAACTTGGCAACCTGTCATGATGGGAGCACTCAGCACTTTCATTGTCAGGGTGTTGGGGTCTTATAGACCTGGATATGGGATTTCAAGTTGAAAGAATCTCATTTTGTGTCTGTTTCATTGGCAAGAATAGTGTTTTGAATTTGATAGAAGCTGCCATTGGAAGCTGGCAGAGAGAGATGAACAGCAGAGAGAGATGTGCTGTTTTGGGTCAGTTGAAGACCAAGCATGCTACTGAGTTCTGGATCATCCACAGAGGTTTGGCAGGGCATTTTGGCTTGCTGGTAAGGAGATGCAGTATTCAATGTGTGATATTTCAAGAGCCTGAACCAGGAGCTGTGTTGTATGTTCTGTCAGGTAGACTCTGATCCCGCTAATGCTGTAAAGGGGTAAATCGATGAGTCTAGATTGGTGTCATTGCTGTTTAATGTCTATGACCCTGACTGTTACGTGTCCCGCAGCTTTTTGCATTGTGGTAAACATTTCGTTTTTTGCATGTTTTATCAAATACAGGTGCACAATGTCACTGAGATTGTGGCTCAAAGGACTGCAAAGGTATCTTTTTCATCCTGTGGTTTTTTATGGCAGATGTTTTGCTTAAAAGGCCAGAGTTCAGCTGCCTTGGACTTTTACTGCATGTGGTCAGTGATAAAAAAGAATATTCAAATCCCTGTCATATCTTTTTTTTTTTTTTTTTTTTTTATTATTATAATTTTTTTTAAGATTATAACAGCAGGGTTAGGCTCCCACACAGATTTGCTGTTGAGTGAAAACATTTCTGACAGGATGCCACAAATGAAATAGGAATGATGATAGATAGAAATAAGAGAAATAAGTATGTTTTGATGATGGCTGGTTTCACACTTGAAAATGTCACCGACTTCACAATGAGTGAGCAAAAACACAACCTTTATGAACAGAATATGGGCAAAAAGAGCACAATTTTAAAAAAGGGATTTAGTCAAGATCAGGTCTTATCTTATTGTAACACAGGGAAACTGTTTTTGTTTTTTTGTTTAGTTTCTATTTTTCAAATGGCAGAACTTGTTGTCTTCATCAACACCCATTTTCCCATACAAGAAAACACACTATTGCTTAACTGTTAAGGAAATGGAAACAGCTGTTCAAAAAACAGCAGTCAAAAAGACAAGAAAGAACAAATGTCATCTGGCTAAAGGCAAATATGGTAACTCACATATTAAAGGTCAGGAGGAAAACACAAATTAAGAGAAACAATTGGTAATAGAGACACTGATGTAAAGCCATAAAGTTAAAGTTCACTAACAGGTATAAAAAAGCTTAAAGAAATCATCCAGTCGAAGTAAAACTATATTGAACAATACAGGGAGAGTTTTGATTCCACAGCAATAAATAAAATCATGTTTCAGTGCAGACCAACCCACAATAGAAGCAAGTCACAGGTGTTCCTCTAGGTGTTCAACTCTAGGCAATACAGTCTCTTGGCTTGGTGATTTTGTTGAACAAAAAAAAAAGGCCCTACTTCTCTTATTCATTTGTTGGCATGTTTATTATGCAGCCATTTATTATTATTGAATCCTAAGTGTTACATTTTAAAGTTCTGCAGTCAATAAAAGGTACCAATAGATTCTCTGTTTTCCAGAAAATAACAGACATAACACTGCTGTTGCTCACCACTTTACTGATGACTTCCCAGCATACACTAGAACCTGGAACTGATCCATCAATTAAGACTTTTCATAAAGGCTTGAACCACAAACTTTAAGTAAAAGCAGCTAATGTAACAAAAGCTAATGCACAGCTAGTGGAAGCTAGCATGGGAGCTAACAGCTAGTTAAACACATTTTCTGTAAAGGCATATTTTATAGGTCATATTGTGAATATAAATCTGTGTAAAAAGTAACATCCCCAAGATGCTTCTAACTTTTGAAAGTGTTAAAATTAGCAGTTTTTTTGCACCAGTATAAGATAGATAGACCGTAAATCGGGCAAAGCTACTCTGTAGGTGTCCCAAACTAACATAATGAAAGGTGAAAATCTGTACAAAATGTCTCCTTTATACAGATACAGATATTCTTGAGTGGTTTGGCAGACATTGCTGTAGCTAATGTAGCAAAGTTTGTAATAATCATTGAAAATATTAACACTGTCACCTGCTCATAACACTGTTGTAACTGTTTTAATGCACTAGGGTTGGGGACATGGTTCAAGCTTCATTACTAAGCAGGACATTTTTTAAAAGATCCAACCAGAAAACCAGGGTGAGTCCTAAAGGTGAGTAAATAGATGGTTTTGTTTTGAAGTCATGGTGTTTTTGTGTTGTGTAGTGTGAAGGTGTTTGGCAGTTTCTTTCTGGCTGTGTGCATTACTGCTTCAGTGACTCTGTTATATTTTTAACTTGACAGTCGGCAAACAGCCGGAAACCAGGGCTCTGAACAGATTAGGAGCAAACACACACACACACACACACACACACACACACACACACACACACACACACACTGGATGTACTCTGACCAATGTACAAACTTCCTCTTTTACAACTGAACATAGTTAAAGAGTGGAGAGGAATGAAACAATAAACATGACGGTAGGCAAGAGGAAGGTAAATGAATTTCACAAGTTTTATGCAACAAATCTGATTGTAAAAACTGCATACCAGCTTAAACGAATGTCAAACTAGGGGAAAGAGATTTTTTAAAAAGTAATTCAGCATGACTTAAAAACAGTTTTTTTTTTTTTAATCAAAAGTGTTTTTCTGGGAAAACAATTATAAATCAAACTTTTAGTTCCGTAAAACTATCAATAGCATTTATAAAACAGTGTGGGGAAAAATCAAACAAATACTCCAACAATAAAATAGTAAAAGGAACTATCAGATTTGAAGATATAGATTTAAATGTGTAAAGTCACAATTTCCTTTTCTCATAAATTGAATTGTACACTTGTCATTTCATGTTTGTGTATGGCTGTGTTGAAAAAGGTATGATCAGGGTCTGACAACACACGGTACAACACCTGATAGACATCTCAGATACGTGTCATCCACACCTCTTATGAAGTGTGCTTACCTCTCTAGGTGTGTGTCCTTGGTTAAGGAAACAGTTCAGCCACTGTTGTACTCCTCAGATTTCTTCTCTGTTTCTCATCAGATTAACAGACAGACCACTGGAGAGACAGTCTGCTGGTATTCTTCTTGACAAATGGGTCAACCAGTCGACAATGCACTGTTACTCCCTGCCACCCAGAATGAGGAACTTAGAGAAACCAGCTGGGGATTTTTCTTTCTTACTGAAACTTCCTGGTACTATTGTTTAATGATTATTTGCATAATCTGAAACACACACAGCCTGGAGCCCAGAGGACAGATGCTATTTTAGTACTTTATATTCTTTTAAACTACACTGCAGTACATTTGAGTTTGACAATTAACTTATAATTAAAAAACAAAATCCCTTTTAAGTATGGATCCAATCTGCAAACATAGAAGGACCAATCACGTTTCCTTATTTACTCTGATCAAGTACTTTCTCTTTAAACTCCTGATAATTGTTTAAAAGTTCCTAAAACTAATCTTTATGGCCTTTATTTTCCATAGTGTAAGTGTCATGTATGTTTTAGTGTCAAATAAACCAAACAGTACCATCTGTTGGCCAGATTCCTGACTTACAACCCCAATTAAAAAAGAGGGATGCCAAGGAAAACAATGATCATATTAGGTGTTAAGCTGAAAATAAATGCCTAAATAAAATATAGTTTTTTAAAAGATCTATGCACATCTTAAAGCTCCCGTTAGGAGTTTCTGATAAGTTATGAAACAGAATGAAATGAGCAGTGATTCATCTCTGTGCTGTACAAAATCAAATGAGACATTCATGACAATACGGGCAGTTTCCAAATTGTCATTTTTAATACCTGTCACTGTTGTGAGAGGGAAGTTATGCTGAAGTAACAGATTCAGTTTCCTCCCTCAAAGCAAATATCCGTGGTCAGTGTCTGGGGTTTTGCTGTCAACATACCCAGTATCGGCTGCTCAGCAGCTCAAGTCTCCTTTGTCATGTGTACTATGATATGCTAGCTGTTTTCAAATGGTGACAAGTCAGGATTTCAGGCAGACCGCTTTAGGACTCTTCTGCGACTAAGCCATACTCAGAATGTAGTTAGGCATCCTCTGTATGAAAGGTCCTCACTGAAAAATGCACTGTCTGGATTGCAACATATGTTGCTCAAAAATTTGTGCGTATTGTTTATTACCAGTGTTGCCTTCCAAGATGTGTAAACCATCCATGCCTTAGGCACTTACGCATCCCTATACCCACCTCAGGTTTTGAACTATGTACTGATAGCAAACCCCCAACCAGGTGGTCCCTCCTCCTCTAAGTCCAACATTTAAAAAAAAGAATTTCAAATTTAGTTTTTCACACTGGGGGAAGTTTATCCTCTTTGGTCCATATTAAATAGACTCAGGTCTTCCGGTCTCACCTATGTTTCTGGATCATATTTATGGTTTTGTCTTTGCAGTTTATAATCTACATTCCTGGATGCTGCAACACAAACAATAGATTTTGGAGGTGGTTTTGAGCTTATGCAGTTATTTCCACTACAGAGTCATATGTGTGTTTAATGCAGGGCCTTCCCATACAGGTCACTGGCTTTTGAACCGTGAATCGTGCAATGTTAACAAGCCACCAAGTCGGGTGGTCGCTCTCTGTGTGAAGGATGTGGCATCTGATTTCCACCAAGAATGACAAATCTTAATTTATCTGACCACAGGGAAGTCTTCCTCTTCAGTCCATGTTAAATGGGCTCAGGCTTGGAGAAGTCACCAACAGTTCTGGATCATGATTATGGATTTCTCTCAGCACAGGAGAGTTTTGACCTGCATTAGTGGATAAAGTAGATGATGGTTTTTGGAAGTCATTTTAAGCTTAAGGACTGATTTCCACTAGAGAAGTGCTTGAATGTAGTGCAACCTGAGAGCCCAAAAATCACTACCATCTGGTATCTGTCATAGATAAAAGAGCTTTTTTTGTCCTTGTATTAAAACACAATGAAATTACAATTGCCCCTCCCATCCATCACCAACCATAAACCCATTCACAAAACCCTGCATAAGAACGTCCCTTTCGTGCATAGGTTTTCCCAGATTATCTGACTCTTTCGATGATATTATGCATCCTTAAATATTATATGATCCTTTAATGCTCATTATTTTTAAAATCTGGGAACATTATTCTGAACAACATTTTGGTATCAGAGTTGTACAATAAGACCAGAAACACTTTACCATTATCAGATCTTTATTTTGTTTTCACACATCAGGTAGAAAATATGATTAGACAGTCAGACAAACAACTAGACATTTGGCAGAATCATGCACCTGCTGTTTGTCTACATGCTGAGTTATGAACAGCAGGGTCACACAGTGTTGTTGCAGGTGAGAGTCACTACATGGTCACATGGCAGTTAACAACCTGAAAACCTGATTGAATGAGTGTTATAAAATAGAGTTATATTTGCCGTGTTATCATCAGCATATGTTAGACTGAGACACATTGAAGTTGCAGTATCACAGCAAGATAATACTGGGGGGAAACATTAAAATAAAAAGTTTCAATAGTGCATGCATGATGGTCTCTGTGGGTCATGATTATGGGATGTGGGAAATACAGGATAGCCTCAACAGGGAATTTCAACCAAACATTTAAAACAACTGGAAGCTCCACTTGAATATTGCATATCTACATTTGAGGAGTTAGACGTTATGGAAATACACCTTTTTCTATACTGCAGAGAGCTGATTGAAAGATTATTAGTATTCAAGCTTCTGTATTAGAATTAAGGGCCTGTGTCCACCAACAGCATCTTAAGAGCTGGTGGTGTACACCAGTTAAAAATAGTGCAAACACACCATCATTGTCAGTTGTATATGATGCTCACAGCATTCTTTGTCAGAAACAGTTCAACTTTTAGAATAACATCACGCCAATTAATGTCAAGCCTTTTATAACCAGCCAACAAAAATTTAAAAAAAGGGGTGGGACTTCTGATATCAACTTTGCCATCAGTCTAGGCAGAGATCTGAAATTGTGCAAAAGGACTAAAGAAGCATGTGTGACAATACAAATGTCACGTATTGTATGTCTAAAACATGCTTGCTGTCATTATGGTTGGTTCTTATCATGCAAGTTAAAGTCTGAGTAACCAACACTGGAATCTCCCAGCTCAGGCCTACTGAGCAGATCCGGGATCTAAATGATGTAATCAGTGCAGTTAGTCAGCACCTGCATTAGGGCGTTTCAGCTTCAGTTTAGTATGGTGGAAGACTTAGAGACGTGCTGTCCATCTTTATATACAGTCAGTGGGAGTAAGTCACGTAGCTTAGATGACGGTTAGTAAGCGCTTAAAAAAATGAAATCAACAACAGAGTTACTGTGTCAGAATTCAGGAGGAGTGATGATACCTTGATACTGGGCCTTCATGTCCTATAGCTTAGCTTCATATAAAGACACTGATGGATGATTTATTAAGTTTTTGCTTGTTGTGTTGCAGCTAGCCCAAGTCAGTGACCAGCTGACTCTTATTTCTTTAAATTTTTAATCAGAGAGAATTAACAGCTGGATAATAAGAGACAAAGGTGCCAATTGGTAGATTTTATTGCCTTCAGGTGAGCCATTAAAGCTAGCCCTCTGGAAGACCAAACATGAGGCAAGATCAACATCTCAGCTGGTAAGCAAGTCGGCGTATTTCCAAAAATGTAAAATTCCTTCATAGTTTTGATTATTATGGCATCATTAGAAAAGTGGAAAAACGTAAGTATTGACATTTTAAAAGATATTACACCACCATTGTTTCTTTTTTGACCACTGAGCTATAAAATGGGTTACCATGCTCACTCTGTGTGAATAATAGATTAACAGCTCTCCACTGTAACCTGCTCTTTTCTAGTCTCATTTCACTGCATTTTGTTCATAAAGCACAGCAGGATTAGTGTACACACCTTTTCACATATAAAGAAATCAAGCCCCAGTGTTTTATGTTCATAGTGTTCTCTACTACAGCTGAGCAGCTCAATGTCCTCCACAGTAATATCAATTTAAAGGAAGCACAAGCCATTAACTGGCGATATAATCTCTACCAGCATCACTACAAAACATGCTACTCCCACTGTGAGCCATTACATTCGCTCATCTCTGTGGTCTTACAAATTGTCTGCACAACTACAAAACTCACACAGGATCTGTCTCTTTTTTTCTTTTTCCAGCCTGTTTGTTTACTAAGACTGAAGTAAAATCAACTGTACATGAGCTACAGATGAGTCCCTCTGCTTTCACCAGCTCTGAACACACTCCTGCCATCGGTCTGTCATACAAGTAAACAGCAGAGTCACAGGAACATGAGGGCACTGTGTAAATTCATCCTAGCACAGTACCTCATCACCACAGTGGATTCTGGGGGTCAGTGCCATGCTTTTAGGCACCTCAGCACTGGCAGCACTAGCCTCTGGCAGTCAGCTCACTTTGGACAAACTGATTCATGACAATGGCAGCGGGAATCTCCAACATAGCTCTCCATTTGTTGGCAGGAGTGTGGGGCAGGTTAGCTGTTCCTCTGCTCGGATTCCCTGTGGGTTGAGGAGGACGAGCTCTGGCTGTCCTCTGTGTCATCTCCATCTGCAGGACAGAGAAAGAGAAAGGGGGAAACAAACTCATAAATATCCTGGTGCTATAAATAAACAGGCTTATGTTTTTTATTTAAAGTTTAGATCTTAATCAGAAAGAACAATGTTTGCAGGCTGCAAAAAGAGAAACCACAGCATTTTTCATGTGTTAGCTGTAATCACTGCTTCACAGCTACACTGTCATACCAATATCAGTAACCGATATTTTTAACTGTTTGGACAAAGAGGGAAATAGCAGCTTGAATAGAGTGCATAATGACTTAAACTGAAAAAAAAAACCCACTGCAAACGCTTACACATTCACTTTGAGTTTAGATAATGATTGACTTTTTATCTACTGTCAGGGTGCTGGGGGTATTGCACAATTTATGACAAGATTTTTTCGGAATTTCTCAGATAAATAAAATGAAAAAAAAAAAAAAAAAAAAACAATAGTATGCTTAAATTTGTGTAAAATCACCTGAATAAAGTAATGGATTTGTTTTACTCAGAATGAGCCTTTTAAATCTACTGTAGTGGTTCCCCTTTGACATCCTGCAATGTCATGTCTCTACAGTAGCACAGAGTAGACAGACTTATGATCATACTTATGATAAATCACAGGACTTCTGGTCCTCAAAGGTCATTGTCCCCTGCTGTGTGGAGTGAGCAAGAGAGCATTTCAGTCTGGAATCTGACCATGAGATATCATTAAATATTCAAACTGTACCTCTAAAGCTTACTATCAAACTTGAACACTGTCTGCTGCTGACTGTGACAGCAGCACCAATTACAGATATTGGACAGCTGCAGACAGAGGTACTTTCATCATTCTGTGTGTCCTTAAAGGGAATACTTTCATTTGGTTCATTAGATGGGACTGCATAAGGTTCTTGTCAATACTGATTACATTACTCACAAAGTCAGCTTGACCCCTTGGACCTCGGCACAGAACCAACAAAGAAGTTTCACTGTCAGCCCCAGCAAATGGGGTCAACTCTGCCATATATTTGATCAGACTTTAAGACAGTCCACTCAGTGGTTGATGGTCCTCTGGCTAGATTCTCGACAAAGGGACCAAGCTTATCCTCTGTGGGTAACACAATTACTATCGACAAGTACCTCATACAACCTCACTTGAAAAAAATCCCCTGTAAATATTATTTAGATTTAACATATGAGACAACACTAGCCTGATTGCATGAAGAGAAATAGAGGAAACATTGACTATCTGCCATATTACTGTAATGAAGTCCTATGTAATATAATCTTGTAATACTAGTTAATTAGATTCATCATAACCTCAGAGTAGTTGCATAGATCAGTTCATTAATGACCTCAATATAAGGAACATACAAACTTACATACTTGTAAGACTGACAGTCCAAAGTTTAACACCCCAGCACATGACATTACCTCCTCCTCCTGCGTTGATGTGCAGCTGGGACAGAGACAGGGTGAGGGGCATTTCTCGTCCCTCAGGGTCAGTGGGACTCTGCAGGATATCGTGCATGGCATTCCTGCGTCCCGTCCTGCCAGAGGCGATGAAGTCTGCGTATGTGGTCTCAACATCAGACATCGCTCGGGCATCATCCACACAGCAACACCTGAGAGGAAAGCAGCTGTGACATTTATCTGAACACACACACAGATCCAAAGGAGCCACAATCATGTCCTCCAAACTGAAAGCACTGCTGATACCGAGGACACAATATTGAAGGTTGGGTAAGATGCTTGAATGACCCTGTCTGCACTTATTTGTCATGAAACTGCCTTTAGCATATTTATTATCATACCCCATTCAGAAGGCAGTAACACGCCTGTTTTTTCCACAGTAATATCATAGTTTAGATACAGTTTTAAAAGTATAAATTCAACTTGGGGAATTGGGGATAAGCATGTGATATATGGGATTTCCTCGGTTTAACAGTGAGCAGTAGTGATGCTAAACTACGCAGCTCGTCCATACCAGGCCCTGATGTCAAGGATCTTGTTAAATCAATTCTCATTAGATCAATAAATTACTAATGGCGTCATTGTAATGTTTCATAATCCAATGTAAAGGTGATTCTTACCTTCAAAGATAGCTCTATAATGTTGCAACCCCGAGCTACATCATTTCCAGGGAGTGACTTCACCTACAGATCCGCGCGACGGGCCCGACATCACATAAGACAAACCAACTAAACCTACACCACCAAACAAAAACCCACCCGACCAGCACCCACGAGCTTATCAAATGCAAGTGTCACTCTGGAGAAAAACGACTCAAAACACCAAATTGATCCAGGAATATATCTCATATCAGAAGGATGGTTTGTAAAGTCTGCTGTCTATTCTCTATGGCCATCGTCCTCCTTCGCGACCAATCAGCGGCCAGAAAGTCGATTCTGAGCGCTGATTGGACAAAAGACACAAAAGGATGCGAGGAGAGAGCGCTGAGAAGCACCGAGGCGCGTGCTGCGTTCAGGATCAACTCGTAAATCTGATTGTCCTTTTACTCACTTTTTAAGCTTTTTCATGTAAGGTATCAAAAATAGGTATAAGAATAGAGTTTGCCCGGGGAAATTTGGTACAATCAGGAGTGATAGATGGTGCAAAGATATTGTTTTACAATGTTAAAGGAAATATCGGAGTGTTTTGATAAATAAAGCTAATGAAAATGTTTATACTTTATTGACCAATAGAGCAAATCTATTTATCTCCGACATATTTGAAATTTGAATACATAACAATGCACCTTGCATTAGAAACTATTAAAATAAGCTTAAGAAGGCCTTTTGAAGTGAAACGTTACTTAAACATATAGCAATTCATGTTCATAAATTTAAAGAATAAGTTAAGAAATTTAATTCATACATATTAAGAAGTAAAGATGTTCATACACTAAAATACAGAGCCTTAATGAGACAGCAGCTAAAATAAAGGATATCAGACAGAGGCTGAAATGATTATATTTTAATACAACAATGTGAGAAACACAATGATTTTTTAAAATCTGAAAATCATGTAAAACTATTAAAGAGGTATCAGAGAGGAAGTATAGAGTCTGAAAAAATCATAATACCCTCTCTTAAATGTTTTGAAGTTCATAAACCAATAATTCCTATCACACTTCAATAAACATCTAGGATAACTAACAGTGTTTACATTTTTTTGACACACATTTTTTTTATATTTACAGCCTTAAAATGAACAACCTATAGTGTCTTGTTATGTAGAAGAGATTTTTTCTAAAACACACATGTTTGTAAAAAGTTTAATGCAACTTTTGTTTAATCTTCAGTAACACATTTGTGTCAAATACAAATGCTACAAAGTCTTCAATAAAAACATATATTCTCTAGATGCGTACTAAAAGAACATCCATAAATCACTTATTATAGTGGGAATAAGAGGGAAAAGAGCCACTGTGTGCCAGTGACAGAAGACAGTGGCATGCATTTTTTTCTTCCACATGATGGTGCTGTTGTCAATATAAGATGTGGCATCACATGAAAAAAAGATAGTGGAAATGTCGTAGGCACACACTACCATTAACTTTAGAAATATGATAATACAGTAAATCAGGGCCAATCAAAAAGGTAAAATCTTTTTTTTTTTTTGTCCAGTAGATGATATGACATTGTTAAATTTGCTCCTTTAAGCTGTATAAATGAGATGTAATGTATGGTATAGGTTTACGTTTTGAACAACTGTGTCTTGTTTGCCAAATGATGTCAAATAAGGAAGTGAAGATAAAAATCTCAAAACCTTTTTTTATTTTCCTGCCAGCTCCCTCCACTGTTCACTCTGACCCTCACCATCTACAGATTTATCCTGCAGCCTTTTGACAGAAAACTCACAGTTTGACCTACAGAGTACCTACACTTAAAACATTTCTAGCAGTGAAATACTTTTTAAGTATTTCTGCATCAGCACAAACAGACTTTAAAAAGTCTTTTGTTTTCAGAGATCAGCCTCATATTCTGACACTCTGGGCACATTTTGCTGCTAAAACTATGCACCTGTTTGAATGCAGGTCCTTTTTCTTGTGCTGTAGTGTACCTTATCTAATTAGTGCTGTTTCTGCAGTAGAGGATGCAAATATCTTGTCTGCCACTGTTGGTCTTCTGCACATAAGGGAAACAACATGCCCCACTGGGAATAAACAAATATCTGTCAAGTTTGGGATGATAATGCCTGCTGCTCTGGTAAACAAGCTTTTCTGACTGTGGAATAAGAAACCAGCTCCAGCATGGATACACCGGCTCTGGTCCTGTGCTGACAGCTGTGCACATCACATTGTGGATATTTGGTTTTTGGCAGTGCAGAGGGATCAATAAAACCTTCACACTCCTTAAACAGTCCTCAATAAACTTTACATTTGTCACTCTTCAGCTGACAAAAACTCTTTTCCCTAAGCATCTTGATGTCTTATTAGTTTCTATGAACTTCATCCCTCACATAGAGAAATTTCTTTACAAACCCCTTTTAATGAAAAAGACAAGATTTCGACAAGATTTAAAATGACCAGAAGGCTGTTTTAAGGCCTGTTGTTAATCACTTGGTCTGACACCTACTGTCCTCAGAGTGGTTTTAAGCATAAGGAATTATGACAGTGAAATTATCATCTTGTTGTCGATGGCTTTGCCTGCTTTGGAAAGTCACAGTTTGAGTCTGTTTTTCAACTGATTTGAAACTTATCATAGGACCTTTGACTAACAAGCGCAATTAACTCCAAACTCACCATCCATTCATGATGATATTAAAATGTATGACTTATCATCTGTCCTGTGATCAAAACTTCTTGAGGAAATGTTGCCTTTTTAAATGATTGTTTGTCATACTTTTTCTGTCTTGCTTTTCAGTTTGTCAAACCATGCTTTTATTTTGAAATACACTACTTTTAGTGGATCAGAACTGGGGGAAAAAAGCAGAAGAGTAGTTGCTCAATTGAATTGTAATCTACAGAGCCAAAAACTTGTGATAATTTGGATTCATAATTGATCTTGAAAATCAGTTTTAAAACAGGAAAGTTAAGGAATCATAAAAGTCAGTGGGATTTATTGTTCATGAGAACATATCTCTAAAATCCTGGTCAATCCATCCAGAGGATTGTGGACTGTGCGCTGACCTGTGCTGCTTACAAGGCTAAAAAAGGGAAAAATAAGTAGATCCCATACAGCAGAGTCTCCTTTCAGATGCAAATAGGGGTCTTTAAGCCAAGCTTTCAAATCATGTCAGAGATTATTTGTGTTTAAAAAAGAGAAAAGGTCTGCTCCCTGCAATGAGAGCCCCATTGTGATTCAATAGAGCAACATTTCACTTGACTCTTCATGCACAGGGATGGAAAGAAGAAGGATGATGACAGACAAATGAAGGATAAAGTGTTGTGATGTACATGAAGCACTAATCCTCCGTCTAGACACAGACTGATAGGCTGGAGGTCCTGACTTCACAGTCTCCCTCTCTCTTCCTGCCTCTCTCTCTCTCTCTGCATGATGTCACCGTGCACCAATGAGGTATGCTGGATGGGGTCTTTGTTTCTGGAACCACTTTCAGAAGAAAAATACAGTGCCACATTTTCCTCCTCACTGTCGCCTTTTAGTCTGATCCCTGCAGGCTGACATCTCCCTTCATGTTAACGTGGGTTTTAATGTGTTCATCCCTGCAGCATTATTCCTTACACACACACATTCACACACACACAGCAACACCTCGGAGCAGCTTCTCACTTTAACACATTTCCCTCCTGATGGACACTGAGCAGCTTCAGTGGAGCAGACAAGTGCCTTGCTTAGGGGGACTTCAATTTTTAGATTAGGTCAGATGAAACTTTAATGATCCCTGCGGAGATGTCAGGTCATTAGAGCAGCAGAGGATAAGAATAGCTTAGATGGAGTAGATAGCAAGAAACAGAGGACAGAGCACTGATATTAAAGAGGTCTTAAATTTGTGCATTGTCATACCATTAGAATTATAGATTAACTCATATGTTGAGGATTTGTATTCACAAACTGCTAATTTTCCCTCTGTTTCATGCTGCAAATTATCTAAAAAGTCCAGTCATTTCTTGTGCAGTTAAGCAAACAGCTAGAACAATGTGTACAAGATTTTGTTTGCCATTGATGCCTCTGACTGTGGCATTTGAAAATAGCTTACAGTCGAGCGAACAAAGAGATTTAAACAAAGAGGAGCTGAAAGGAAGAGAGACGCAGATCAAGAGGGAGACAAATATAGACAGAGACAGAGGATTGACAGAGCCCAGTTCAACTGGGTTACTAACTTTTCCAGCTTCCTTGTGTGTTTCTTCTCCTCCAAGAAAAGACTGTCCTGATTTGGCACATGTGTCTGTGCACATCTCTTACTCTAGATGATTTAAAGCAACAGTAAGCCATTTGTTCAAATGGATTTTATTTGTTAAAATCATGGCGATATCTTGGCAAAAGGTACAAATCTGATGCTCTAAAAGGTAAAGTTAGAAGTATAGATTAGGTGCACTGTCAACGTATGATGTTCTGGTTTTCCCCTTTGTGGAAGGGGAAGCTTCTTATCCCTTGAGGGTAAGAGGGTGGGGTGAATGTGCAGTGAAGGATT